TCGTAACCCGCACAACAATTAGTAAACGTTGTAATAATTTATTATTTTTATAGTTTTTTTGTAAGCCATAATCATCTAGCCAGAAGTCTATGATACAATTTGCCGACATAATTTTTTCTTTCATATTTAAGATTTCATTATAATGAAATTTCTAAACATTAACTTATAAGATATATAGAGAGAAAGTTTGCAGAAAATATATTTCGTTTCAATAGTGATCATTTAATCATAATATATTTCACGATACAGAATTTTGAATTTTTTTTAAAAAAAATTATATTAATTCAATGAATAGAATGGAAAAAAAATTAATTTGATTCAAATAATCGGTTAACTATTATCAAGTAAATATTAATTTGAACCAAATAATTTTTATTTTAATGAAATATAAAAAATATTAGAATTTCTATATTTGAAATTAATACCATTTAATTGACTCAATAATTATTTAATACAAATAAATATTTATTTGATATAATAAACCGATTATTTGAATCAAATTTTGTTTTCAGTGTATATAAAATACATCGCAATTATGTGGCATATACTCTTGAATGTTTCATATATACATAGTGAAAAAGAACGTGCTTTAAATACTTCGGCAAATGTTTGAATAAGTCATTTTTAGTTTTAATTTTGTTATATAAGACTGTTAATCACTCCCTCGTTAAAGTCGATCCATCGGTTGTCTACCTAACTTAATCCGTGGTCGTTAATTAATGGCTTTTGCGAAATCGTTAAACTCAATCTGCGGGCTTATTCACTTGTTGTCGCTTAAGGTTATAATTTGACAAAAAAGAAAGAAAGAAAAAAAAAAAGCTTTCACTGAATAAATAGGAAAAGTATCTTTCGAATGATAAGAAAATTTGAAAAAAAACTGATTCAATAACAATAAATGAGTTACTCTCTAAATTTGAATCAGCTAAAATCCGCTGATTGGCAGCGAATAGTCGCTGATTGAAAAAGCTATAAGTATGCAGCTGCGAATCAGCGACTAACAACTATTTCAATCAGCGGAATACTCCATTTTAAAATAAATTTATCTTCCGACGAAAATGACCGACGTTCGCCGATTCGTGTTTCGCTATTTTATTAGCTGTAACCGCTGATTTGCAGTGAAAACTTTATTCGCTGATTCAAACAGTGAAATTTTCGCTAATTCAAATTTAGAGAGTACAACTTGTATTAATTATTAAAAAAGAGGCTACAAAAAAATTCAAAAATTACTATAAAAAAAGTAGTTTCAATTTTTGATAAAGATAGATAATAATAATAATTAATAAATTATTTTATTAATTATTATTATTACTATTATTACTATTATTATTATTGTATTATTATTATTATTATTATTATTGTATTATTATTATTATTATTATCATTATTTTATTATTATTAATATATTAATTTATTTATTAATAATTAATAATAAATAATTAATGAAGTTTTAATCATAGTTATTTTTTTTTTTTAGTAAAACTAATAATGATGGTCATAAGGTCAAGTTTTTTTTTTTCTCTCTGTGGGGTACCCCTCTGGAATAATTTTGTGGGGTCTCGTTTTCATATGGGGGAGGAAAGTTTCTTTCTAATATAAGTTTCTCTCCCTCGTGTTGAGGGAAAATTCACGCATGCTCACTACTATTTTACATATATATTATATATATAGCAGTAAAAACTATATATAGAGTTCCGGCTGATTAACAATTTATTTCGCATAGCTAAAGAATCCATTTATCAAGGAGTTAGTTCTAATTTCTTGGAATTGAAAACATTTAATCGATTTTTGCCAATAATTACTAGCCCCCCCCCCCTCTCTCTCTCACCCTCTATCATATATTTTTATATATCTCTAATTTATTTTATTGTACTTTCAAAAATTTGATAAAATTAATTTTATTTCTACTCTCTAAATCTGAATTAGTAAAAATGTTTACTAATTTAAATTACTCACTTTTTGCTTTAGAATTAGTTAAATTTTACTAATTGTTAGTAAAAGTTACTAATAATTAGTAAAATTTTACTAATTCAGAAGCAAAAAGTGTGTCACTAATTCAAATTAGTAAACATTTTTACTAATTCAGATTTAGAGAGTAATTTTATTTGTTATTAAAAACAATTTTTTAATTTGTGGTTATGTTAATGGGCTAAGAACATTTTTAAGTAATGTAAAAATTATATTAGAAAAATTGGCAGAAGTTGAGTAAGAAGAACTTGGCACCGTCTCATTAGTAACTTCCAGCTAATTAAGAAATTACGGGAATAAATATATATACATATATATGTAGAAAGATCTTCAATGAACATTAGTTTGTAAATGAATTGGGAGCCTATTTAATGCGCTATGAATATAACGGGTTGAATATATATATATTTATATATATATAAACGAGAATCTTTCGCGCTTGTATCCACCGGGGTGTATTTATCGACGTGGTTGAACCGAAAGTACAATAACCTCAATTGAAGCCGATGCGTCGAGGCGGTCTGCTGAACCCAAAACCAATTTCCAAAGCCGAACTACATATGGGCTTAGATCTATATATATATATATGTATATACAGTCAACACATTCAAAAAATTTCCCATCATGAAACCAAAATCAAGTTTGCAAATCTAAATTCTCAAATCTGGAATTAGAAAACTATTTTCATGAGCCAAAAGTTTTGAACGTTCAAATGAACAATTTTTTTTTTTTGTAACTTCTTTAAGTATGAATTTTATTACAAAATATTGTTTTAAATATATCTAAAAAGAAGTTAGTAATTTAATATTTGTTTAATTTACTGTTTTATTTTACATTAACATTTTACATTTTACATTAAAATTTTACTAATTATTAGTAACTTTTACTAACAATTAGTAAAATTTAACTAATTCAAAAGCAAAAAGTGAGTCACTAATTCGAATTAGTAAACATTTTTACTAATTCAGATTTAGAGAGAACATTATAATTTTTTTAAATAATTTATATAGATTGAAAAAAATATTTTATTCATTTGAACGTTCGGAACTTTTATGGCTCATTTCAATTACTAAATTACTTTCATAAATACTTCAACGGCAAAATAAAAATTTTAATCATTTAAAATTCTCTATTCTTCACTAATTTAGATTTAAAGAGTAAAAATATTTCGAAAATCTTATTTTAAGAATCATTTAATTAAGTCTTTAAATCTAAATTACAGAAAACAAAGACTCGAACTATAAAAATAGTAATAGAATTTTTTCTCTTTCAATCAGACTAATTTTAATTTAATGACTACTATATATTGTAATTTTACTATTTTAATCACCGATTAAATTTAGAGAGTATGCAAATTTTTACAAAAATAGCAATTGTTAAAAAAAAATCATATTAATTATTTGAAAATTTTGTGGATTATTTCTTACTGATACTTTTATATAGTATATAAAATGATATACAAACAACAAGAAAAACAAAGATGCGCGTGTTGTATGATTGATCACTTAAAAATAATCAAGAAGCGTTGGAGATAAAGAGGGTGATTACCATCAAGACTCATAGTCTGATTGAAATGATACTGATAATTTTATTATATTTAAATTTTAACCAGAATTTAATTTGATTTCAATTTTTTTTAAACAGATGAAAAATTAATACTGTAAAAACAAAATAAATAGAAATAAAGTTACAAAAAAAAAATTTACCTATTTTGTAGTCAAAAATTTAGAAAAACTAATTTACGTATATATAAATTGCTCTTTACGACTTCAGTGACATTTCATTAATTCAGACTTGAAGTGTAAGAGAGAGTTCATAAAACGGTAAATAGTACAATTTACTAGTAAATATATTTTTTACAAAAATCCAATATTTCTGAGTTGAAATTTTTGGAAAATATATTTTTTTTATATATCTTTCGTAGATATATAGTAGTTATATTTCCTGTATAATAAATCTTTTAAAATTTCCGACCCTCGCAACTTTTGAAACACCCCGTATAACCTACACTATTACACGCAGTATTCAAGTAACAGTACTGTGCTTGGAAGCACATTACGAGTCGATTCACACACCCAACGAAGCAAACCGTCACGAAAGAGAGAGACCGTATTCTAGACCCACAGAGCAGAGTCCCTGCTTGGACGAGGCTCAGTGGTTCTCATTTTGTCAACTATATATATATATAATAATAATAATACCTTACAGGAAATAAAATCTAACACTTTTCATTAACTCTTAATTTTATAAAAAACCCAATTCCTATAACTATAAAAATTACATAAGAAAACTATTCTAATTTCAAAATTAATTTACCACAGGCGTCTTAAAGTAAGATTTTTACTGTATACCTATATTGAAAACTTCAAATTAACTTCAAATATAGCTCACACTGACCAATTTGATGGCATAATAGGAGTGCGCTTAATTCAAATATGATGGGGATTTTAGTTTAATGTTTGGTTTTGACGATGATGGAAATCCTAATTTATTATCAAAATTGAATTATACGGTGCGGGAGAATTCTCATTTAATCAATTTTATAGAAATTCCCTAAATTATATTTAAATAAAGAAAAATTGCAAGTAGAGAAAATTTTATTTAAAAATAAGAATTTATTATTATTACACTGAAAAAAAATTTATTTGATTCAAAAAAATCTATTACTTTATCAAATAAATATTTATTCCTATCAAATAATTATTTGGTTCAATTAAATATGATATTTGTTTCAAATACAGAAATTATTCAAATACAATTCAAATAATAATTATTTGGTTCAAGTAAATATTTATTTGATAATAGTCAAGTAATCAAGTATGTATTTGAATCAAATAATTTTTTTCAATGTATTATTATTATTATTATTATTATTATTATTAGTATTATAATATTATTGTAAGACGATAAATTGGATTAAAATAAGAGGTTATTTTAATAGCTTAAAATTTTATCTGATATATTAAATTTAACTATACAAAATATTATGCAGAGGATTCAAACAATAAAAGCAATTTTTTTTGTGCTTTTTACAGACGTCCGTGGTTTTGGCTGATGCCTAAATGGTGGCTCTGAGGGGTCCCTAAGGAAGCATGAGGGAACGAACACCCTCTGCCGATGACACCCCAAAGAGGGCCCCACCAGCGCCACCTAGAGGTGAGTGTCGAATTTCCAAAAAATTTCCAATCAACATAAACTTATTCGAATCAAAACTAACAATTCTTAAATAATAAACCAACATTTAGGAAATTAAAATCGAAACTAACACCGCAAATTTTAAAAAGCATTTGTTAATTTTTCTCAGATATTGTGTTTTCACAGAAAATTAAAAGTCATTAAAATAAGCTGTAACGCTTATTATTTTAATCCAATTTTGCTTATTTTAATACCAAAATGGATTAAAATAATAAGCGTTGAAGCTTATTTTTATGCCTTTTAATTTTCTGTGTTCTTGTATTATATGTAAGAAGAAAAAATTTGTCTTGTTTTTTGATTTGAACTTTTTTTTTATTTGGAAACTGATTAATCAATCACAGGAATATTGCAATATATAATATGTAATATTGCAATTTATAGTTACATCTATAGCATATCGATAATCCATGTAACTCTAATCAAAAACAACCTTATGTGATCATTCCCAAGGCCTCGATACACAGTACTCGTAACGCACTTGTATTCAATATATAACCTACAAATATATATATATACTCGCATACAACTTGAAGCAACATTATCAGACCTAAGTAGTAGTGAAGTGCGTATATGTAATAGTCATTTCAAACTTATGGATTATAGTCGACAAATTTATAAACTTTTTCCATGACCCAGTATCATCAATATATAGATTTTTATCTCACTATTTTTTTGACAAACGAATTCCAAATTCTTTTTTACCAATTCATTGTTATACACTGAAAAAAGAGTTAGGTATTGTGACAACCAAATGTTTGGTTGGTATTTAAGCAACCAAAATTTTAATTTTCTCAACCAACATTTGTTTGACACAATCAAAATTAGAAAAAACTGATTTTTGTTGTCCTAACTAAAGTTTGATTGGGACAACCAAAATTTTGTTGATTCAACAAAAAAATTTTGCGGTTCCTTAAATATACCAACCAAACGTTTGGTTGTCAATACCAAACCCTTTTTTCAGTGTACATAAATGAATTGCCCATAAAAATCCCTATTCACTGAATTTTAATTTGCCACTGAATTTTTATTTGCCCGAAATTACAAATGGTTAAACAAACAATCGATTTTGGCGCGCAATTTTTCGAAAACCGACCAATCACAATTTTCTTGATAATTTTTAATTGAATTTTCAAAAATTGCGCCGAAATCTTTTTGTTCATTATTTGTTTGGCCATTTATAATTTCGGGCAAATGAAAATTCAGGCAAATTAAAAATTCTATTAATTAAAAATTCGTACAAATAAAAAAATAAAATAAAAATGTCAACATATCCTACGGGTGTGCGACAACTTTCAAAACGTTCAGTGTATAGACCACATATACTCAGTTTGTGGCGTATATTCTCTGTCGTTGCGCGCATAATCCAGCACCAAAGTGCAAGCGCACGTGTAATGTCGTGTGTGCGAATACTTTCCAACTCACGCGCACACTCACACACAAAATTCCTTCTTCATCTTCACGCTTTTTACACTACATATATATATATATAAAAGTACGATAACTCTTAAAATACAAGAAAAATTCAAAATATTTATAAATATATCGTCAAAATACAGGAAATTAAAATAAAATTTCTTTCAATTAAAAAAAAAGAGTTCGACTATAATCAAAATGAAATTTTCTTACTTTGATTCATTATGTAATTAATTAATATATTAATTAATTATATGCAAATGTAACTCCAATCAGTAATTTAAAATTTATTATAAAATAATAATTATTAATAGTTAAAGCATTATATAAACTGATTTGATAATTTGTAGTACTGTATTTTTTTGTAAAGTAAAGAGATCATTAACATTTACTCAATTTTCAACGATTAACAAATATATTTATTTTTTTTTTTCATTGTGTTAAAAGTGAATTTTTCCAATCATTCCATTCGTGTATATATATATAAGCGAAAAGGGACACATACTACCAACATTGAAAAGCAAACTCACATAACAAGCGGACAACACACGACGACAGTTCATTAAATACAGAGGAAAAATGGCGTACATATAAACGACTATTACACTTTTTTTTTATCGCAAACGACAAATAGTAAAATTTCTATTTTCCAACTAAAAAAAATTCTGTCAGACAAAAATTATTATTAACTAAATGTTCACTTCGACCAAAATATATATTTTTTTTTTTTTGATGAAATTCAGAAAGCTATCGCGTTCTTATCAACATTATACCCTAAAGTTTATTTCAAAGCCTGAACATCTCATCTCAATATATATATATATATATATGAAAACAACTGTAATCACGCTAATAATCACACACAGCCAAGAATTCCTTATAATGTCAACAACCTACGTTTAAAATACCTTCATCGTTTTTAACTGATCTTGTTTTCAAAGTGATCATATTTAAATGCAAATTGACAAGAAACTAATAAGAACTAGAAAATTTTTAAAATAGCTCAATACAAAAAAAGGAGAAAAAATATATTTATCTCAGGTAATTATTTGTTTTCAAAAAGAATTTCAACTTAATTATATAATCAACTAAAAATTAAATAGAAGAAAATAAAAAATTTTAAACTTTATATATTCTTTGATGTAAAGGAATTTTAAATAATTTGAAGAAAAAGGTATATAGAAATAATTTCCAGTGAAAATAAAGAAGGAGAGAGAGAGAGAGAGATTTAATAAAATTAATTTACTATAGTACGAAGGTCACGATGATGAGAGAACATTTGCTTTATGTACTTAGTATATATGTACATAAAGCAAAGAAGAGCAAAAATAATTGAAAAGAAAATGAAATTGCTCTTGTCTTATCTCATCTCGATTGGCATTACTTTGTTTCCCGTGTGACGAGAATATAAAGCTTCAATTACAAAGTGCGAACAATAACAATAGAACATTAATAAGGTTAAGATTTTCATTTATACTTGTTTAGCGATCGTTAAGCCTCTAATATATATATTAAATGTAACAAACTTTTACATTTATAAATATTTAATTATTTATTAATTACAATAAATTATTAATTTTCATAAATTAATTACAATAAATTAATAATTAATTAATGGATTAATGAATAATAAATAATTTAAATAATATTAAGATTTGAATTACAAAAATGATTATACTCTAAGCAAAAATGCCATAATCAATTAAATTAATAAAACAAAAGAATTCACCTGGAATAAGTGAAGCATTTGGAGTAAATAAATTATATTTTCTTACAAATAAGTCATAAGGGAAAATTATATAGTTATTCCAATAAATGTTTTAGTTAAACCTACTATTGTTTGCACTTTAAAAAGGAAGGCATCAAAAAAAATTTCTTTCCTCAATATATGAAAAAATTTTTTGTATAAACTATTTTCAGATTTCTGTATATAATTTTACACTATTCACAAAAGCATATATTTACAAATTTCACACATATATAAAAATCTGATAACCCATGCGATAGAGTAGGGTCATTGAAGAATCATTATATAGCACGTGTCACTACTGTTTATACATGCTAATTTTTCTTTATTGCAAAAATCATAAAAAGAATGCTCATCACACATATATTAGAAAATAAACCTGACAAAGGATTTGAAATTACTATTTTTATATATAAGAATTTACAACACATTGAGAAATTTTTCATTTAAAAAATATCTGTTTTTTTATAGTATATGAAACGTACCAAATAATATTGAAAATTAGTATGGACCATATTAATTTTTAGTATTATTTGGTTAGAAACTAGTAAAATTACCCAAAAAGAATAGTATCAATTACAAATTTCTTTTCCGTTACGAAATTTTGAGACATTCCATTTATCCAAAAAAAAAAAACTCTAATCATAAAGCAGAACGAAGATTAGAGGCAGCTTATTATTACAAAAGGGAGTAGAATTGGAAATGTTAACATTATTTTAATGTTCACTTATGATCTCATATACACAGACAGTGATCATTCGAGGTAGCAACCTCCTTTGGCGTTGTAGGGGAGGATATCGATTCCCAGCCCCCACCAAGATGGTTGAGGACCGGTACTTCCGGATAAAAGGGCGTTAGGAGAAATGGCCGTGTTCTCTCTCTCTCTCTTTCTCTTTGCAGAAAACAGATAGACGTGCCCAAGGGGAACAAAGACAGATAAAAAGGATAAATGTAGTGAGAATATTTCTCTACATGTGAGAAACAAGGATGGAAGTTGAGTTAGAAGGTGAACACAACAGAGATGTTCAACACTCCAGTATAAAGCCGATCGGTGAAAGCGAGAGAGAGAGAGAGAGAGAGAGAGAGAGAACTCTGACGAAAAAAAAAGAATAGGGAAAAAACAAGATAAGATTGGTCAACCATAAAAAAAGACAGGCGACAAAAAAACAAACTTTTCCTCATATCAAAAAACTTTCAAAATAAAACAGAAGCATTAGTTTTCAAATCAAAAATTGTATATAAACCTAAAATTTAGGATTAATTTTATTTTAGCGGTACTGGCAAAATATGATTATTGAGATAAAATATATTATTAAATATAATTATTAAGAGATCACTCACCTTGGGCTGCTTTCTTTAATGCACGACCTCCATCCTGGAGCTGCTACTTCCGCATTTGTATCACACTTCCTTCTGGCATCTCTAGGGAGCAACTCTGATGATCCTTCTTTATCTTCTCACACAAAATGTTTTCCTTCTTTTTATTATCCTGCTCGTACAATTTTTGTAGAAAAACACTGTACACTATTCCCACCGTTGGGTCCACAATTATTCTAAATTCTGAACGTTTAAATGATTCTTTTTACATGAATGAATTTAAAACAGAATTTACTACTGCATTTAATGTTATCCTATACATAAAATGTTATGGAAACTCATGCAGTATGATTTATACAAAAAGGTAAAATAAGAATAAAAGTAAAATACATCCATGCTTTCAACCATTTATCCATCCATACTCCCATCCATTCATCCATCCACACACCCATTCATCAATCCATACATCTATGCATTCGTCCATTCATCCATACACACAACCAACCATCAATCCATCCATCCATTCATACATCCTTCCATCTATCCACACATTCATTCAATCATCCATCCCTCCATTTATCCATACATTCATTCATCCACTCCCCCAATCATCAATTCATACATCCATCTATTCATCCATCCACTCCACTCTCATCTATTCATTCATCCACACATCCAACCATCAATCCATACATCCATCCACACACCCATACATTAATCCATACATTCGTCCATTCATCCATCCATCTATTCGTCCGTTTATTTATCCATCTACACTCCCATCCAACTATCCATACATCCATACATTCGTTCATTCATTCATCCATCCATACTCCCATCCATTCGTCCATTTATTCATCCATCCATACTCCCATTCGTCAATCCATTCATTTATTCATCCATCCATCTATTCGTTCATTCATTCATCCATCCACACTCCCAACCAACTATCTATACATCCATACATTCATTCATCCATCCATTCGTCCATTTATTCATCCATCTATACTCCCATTCGTCAATCCATTTATTCATTCATTCATCCATTCATACTCCCATTTATTCGTTCATTCATCCATTCACACTCCCATCCAACTATCTATACATCCATACATTCGTTCATTCATTCATTCATCCATCCATACTTCCATCCATTCGTCCATTTATTCATCCATCCATACTCCCATTCGTCAATCCATTTATTCGTTCATTCATCCATCCACACTCCCATCCAACTATCCATACATCCATACATTTGTTCATTCAATCATACTCCCATCCATTCGTCCATTTATTCATTCATCCATACTCCCATCCATTCGTCCATTCATCCATACTCCCATCCATTCCTTCATTTATTCATCCATCCATTCGTCCATTTATGCATCCACCCACACATATATGTTACTTTTATACTCACTGTACCTTCTTGTATAAACCATATTAAATATAGTAAACAAATTGTTAAAACGTTCAGAATTTTCTGAACATTGTTCTAATTTACCGCATAGTTCGAATTTAATTTTTCACTGATTTCACAGTCACTTTTGAAAGTTCCATTTCATATGGAGAAAAATCCACACAATTCACGCACTAAACACACTATTCCCATCGTTGGGAATACATCAACTGGGTCCACCTACCATTATTCTGCACTTCAATTCTCAAATGTTTGATTTTAATTTTCCACATAATCTATTTAATTTCGAAAACCCATATTTCACAGAGAAAAATAATTAGAAGAGACTAAACCTCTTTTGTGTGCGGTTTTATTTGTTTCTAAGAAAAAATTTCCATTATTAATATTTATACGTAAATTTCGTGAAACGAAAAAAAATAAATATTACCGACAATTTAATTATCGAACAAAAAATTATTTAAAAAAAAGAAGTAATTTTAATCCGTAGCAAAAAAATCGCGATTTGAAAGTGGTATAGTAAAAATTCGCGAACAATGAAAGAAAAAAGAAGATGAAGAATCCTATGGTCGGCAGTCTCTGAAATTTTTTATCTGCGTTCACAGAATTCAAAAATAAAAATATGTTACCTAATTTAATTAACGAACAAAAAATTAATTATTAATATACAAAAAATCGCGACGTGAAAGTGGCATAGTAAAAATTCGCGAACAATAAAAGAAAAATAAGACGATGAGTCCTGATGAACCGCAGCCTCTGAAATTTTTTATCTGTGTTCCGCAGAACTCAAAAAAAAAAACAAAAAAAATGGTACCGAAAATTTAATTATCGAACAAAAAAATATTTAAAAAAAAAGAATAATCCGTAGTAAAAGAAAACCGCGATCTGAAAGTGGCATAGTAAAAATTCGCGAACAATGAAAGAAAAATAAAACGATGAGTCCTGATGAACCGCAGTCTCTAAAATTTTTTATCTGTGTTCCGCAGAACTCAAAAAAAAAATAAATAAAAAAAATGGTACCGAAAATTTAATTATCGAACAAAAAAATATTAAAAAAAAAAAAAGAATAATCCGTAGTAAAAAAAATCGCGATCTGAAAGTGGCATAGTAAAAATTCTCAAACAAAGAAAGAGAAATAAGAAGATGAGGACTCTAATAATAATGGAAATTTTTCTTCCTATCATACGTTTTATATAAAAAATTTTTCGAAAAAAATAAAAAATATTTATAAAAAAAATAATTAGCTTACAATTTTTCTCTGTGTTTTTGGGTATTACACTTCCACGCACAAATTTATTACCTCACCTGAAACAAAAAAAAAACATTTTGTTAGTATCAATTAAATTTCATTTAGCGACGTGATTGCATCTTTATACATTATATAAAATTCAGCGAATAAAAAATTATAATACTGTCATTTAAAAAAAAAATAATAATAATAATCGCTTCAAAGTTGCGCAAACAGTGTTTTCTTATATTTGTTTGTTTTACACATATATATATATATATAAAAGAGCATTGACCCCGACCGTAAAAGAATTTCAGGTTCGAGTGAACGACAGAAAATTAGAGAGGGTAATAAGTAATGAGGTTAGTGGTCGTTTGAAACCGTCGAGTTATCGATTCTCCGTCGTGTTGACTATATTTTCTTAGGAGTCTACCTTTAAGGCTTGTGTGTGTGTGTTTTTTTTTTCACTGAGCATTTCATTAGGGGGATGAAACCCCTAAAAAGACTGTCATGTTTTTTTATGGCACGCAAAATACTTTCTCTTCAATGTAAAAAAATAAAAATATGGATCTTTGATTAAACAATTTTAAAGAAATATTTTTTATGAAAAAAATCTAATTACATAATATATAAATAAAAATATAATATATATTATATAATTCAAAAAATGAAAATACTGCTCAGCCTTTGAGAGTGTAACTATTTAAAGAACGCCTCTTTTCTTCTTTCATAAATTGTTTCCATCTTTCTCGAGCTTATAAATGTCCATGAATGTTGTTACGTAAAAACACACTCACATTGAACACGTAAAACAAGTTTATGAATGGAATATCGATTTTATTCAGGCGCCGCCAACAATATAGAAATAAATAATATATATAAGATAATTATCATAGCATGCGTTATTTTTAAATGATTCAGATTAAAAATTAAATTCACTGATAATGAAAATCACAATGCTATAAAGCATTATAAGTGTTTTAAAATTAACGAAACATTTTTTTTTTAATATACTTTTTGTTTACAAAATTAACTATTAATTTATATAAATAGCCACTAAAACAAAAAAAAAATTTTAACGTCTTTTGTGGTAAAAATAATACTTGAGTTTTTATCTCAAAAGCCTTTAGACTCTTAATGGTGTTTCTCGAACAATTAAGTGAAATCATAAAGTTGGACCAAAGTGTAACGAATCATTATAATTGACTTTCCGTAAAAATGAAATTTCAACCAAAAAAAAAGTCTGTTACATTTTTTTTTCTTTCTTAATTTAATATTTAAAATAAATTTCTAATAATTTACAAAATTGAAAAAATTCTGAACAAATTAAAAAAATAAAAATACTTTTTAATAAACAATTTTTTTAAAAGTAAATTACATTTTTTTTTTAATTTGAGCTATTTGAAAAAAGAAAAAAATTCCTAGCAGCAAAAAACTAAATTTCAAAGGTAGTGGAAACATCGGAATTATCTCTCATTTTGAAAAATTACGCTTCTATTTCATTGACGTAACCGTAGCGAAAGATCAGTGACCTGTAAATTTTAACACGTAACGAATTTCGATTTTTATAGATCACGAATACATATTGCTCATTATTATTAAATGCATTTAAAAAAAAAAAGAAAAATATATACGAATCCATCGTTTTTCTACAAGAAAATTAATTTTCCATTACCGTATTTTTTTCTTGACAAAAAAATAAAGTAATTTTAATTCAAATTCAATAATTTTTTCCTCTTTCAATTTTTATGTTATATGAAAATAATTTTTCAAACATCTAGTATATTCCAAACATATGTTATTGATTGATTTTTAGAGCTGAACTAAAATGCATCCCACTACCGTTGAAATCGTTTATTATGCTCCTGGATTTCTTTTATTTTACATCATGAATTCTTGGTAATCTGAGTATTCCATGTTGAATGTTATCCATCTGGCAGACTGCCATTAGACTGCAGCTACTAAGATAAATAGACATTGATTACCAACAACTCAAAATCGATTGTTTTCTATTTCATATAAATATATATAATTTATTTTTTAAATATCAAAGAAATTGTATCAAAAACAAATAAAAAAAAATAATTTAAATAAAATTCAAAAAAAAACAGAATAAAAATAAATTATTTTTCATGAAAAAATAAATTATATTTAAAAAAAATTCTTTTAAAATAAAAATATTTAATATACAATTTAAAATATATAGTTCATTTTCTGAGCATTATAAAGACTTTACTTTTAATGGTGCAACTAAACGCAACAGTTTCAAAAACTGTGTCTGTGCGAGAGGGGTCAGAGAAAATATTAGCGAATTTCTACCCGCGGAACGAAATGAGCTTTAAAGTTGAGTTTACCGTAAATTAACCCTCTTTGCGCAGAAGGGTTAAAATAACACTTTATTTTCATTTTACGATCTATTTGGAAAGCGAGCGCGTTCACGCGCTTTGAAAATTGTTCTGCGTGCGATAAAATAACATGAAAACGATATTGATACTGATTTTAAATGCGAATCAATTTGTGAAAATTGTATTATTTTCCAAAAAAAAAGTCCTGAAAATCAAAAATAATAATTAAATTAAAATAATATTAAAATAATATTAAAATAATAATTAAATTATTTAATTATAATAATAAATTTAAATAGAAATAATCTTACTCGCACGTGATAAATTTCTTGTGCAATAATTGATCACTGGAAACTCTTGCGGAAATTCTTCCGGAAATTCCTGTTGAATATTTCGACAAATTTTTTCCATATAACTTATAAATCCATTTTTTAACGTAACTGATTTAAAATTATTGTTTGTAATTATCAAACACATTTAAGAAAACTTTCACTTAAAATCGTTTTATTTATATATTATTTTGGAAAGTAAAAAAAACAAAACTTTTAGGTTAGGAATGACTAAAGGGGCTATTACACTTCCGCAGCCTGCACAAGAAATTGAGGTGTAATAACGCCTTTACTATTCCTAACCTAACCTAACCAGCAGAAAGTTTTTGTTTACTTGCGATAAATAGTATATAAATAAAGCAAATTTAATTTTTCTTAACTGTAATTGTGTTTAATCATTACAAACAATAATTTTAATTCTTGTATTACAAAAACAGAATATTTATGCTGTTATGAAAAAAATTTGTCTAAATTTCCGCACAAGATTTCAGTTTCGGAAACAACTTTTTCACGTGGGATTTAAAAAAAAATATTAAAAAATGTGCAAAAACAAAAATGAAATTCCATTTCTATTAAATTTTTTAACCATTCGTAATTATTCATAATTAATTAAATAATTATTAATTAATATAATGAATATTAATTAACATATAATGAATGAAATGATGCATAATAAAAAATTAACCTATTAATTTATGTAAAATTAATTCATTATTTTATGAATTAAAAAAAGAACAAAAAAAAAACATAAACAATTTTTGTTACAATTTTTCAGAAGCAGACGTTGCAGGCAACAAAGCGACAAAAGGAGGAGCAACTGAATTCTATTTAGGAATTTCCTCAACGGCCAATTGCAAAAAAATGGTTGCATCAACAAATAATTTAGAAGATCATGCTGTCAATCATGCAGCTAGTGTAAGCACTGAAATTCGTCAGCAACAACAACAACAAACTCACGCTTGTAGATCAGTTCCAACAGCGCAGGATAAACGCAGTAGACTCAGTAATGTGATAAATAATCTCAGAAAAAAAGTACCTGAGACTAAATGTGAATTATCCACAAATAAAGAAGACGATAGAAATAGTGTTGAAAGAAATTTGGAAACACTTGAAAAATATGTAATGACTGTATTAAATGGCGTCATTGAAGAGGAAAAGGAACGTGAATCAAGTCATGAAAAATTTACAGTTACAACAATATTGAATGATAATTCAAAAAATGAGGAAGATTCTTTAAAAAAAGAAGATAATTCCAAAGACTGTGAAAATAGACTTGAATCATTTGTACCTGTTAGTAATGAAGGGAAAAAAGACAATCTTATTCAAAAATTATGTTCAAATGAAGAAAATTTAATTGATGATGAAAAAAAGTTTAATAATGAAGAACATCGAACACTTGGAGGAATAATTATGGATAGATTGTCTGAACATCAAGATTTGGTACAAATAGAAGAAAAAGATTTAAATAAAACATGCAAGGAACTTTTGGATGATCTTTTAAATGATGTTTTACAAATGGTTCATCATGATGGTGCCAAAGATTCATTAAAAATGGAAAACAATGAAAAAGATCAAAAATCCGAAAATTTACCCACAAGTCTTCATTGTAGTTTACCATTGGAAAAAGTTGCCTCTGTACTTCAGACATGTCAAACACAAGAAATTTCACCATCTTCTCAAATTCCGATAAAAACATCAACTAAACCACCATCACCCACTGTTCGACATCTTTGTCTTTATTGTGATCGTAAATTCTCTTCAATTTCATTAAGACAAAGGCACACCGAAAGAGTTCATCAATTTAAAGGTGGAAGACGATCTGAACGTAACAATAGAAAACCATCTCTAAATTGTCAATATTGCTCTGACAAAAGTGTTGACAATTTAGATAATTTATTTCAACATATGATTGGAAATCACAATGATAAATATCACGCTTGTCTTCAATGTATCACTAGATATCTATCAAAAGAGGCTCTCACCAATCACATGAACGAGATTCATAATTTGGATAGAACAAGTTCAACACAAGTAAGTTCTTTTTTTTTCTAACAATAATTTTTGATAAAATTTAATCTTTAATTATTATTCATTAATCATTTCAGGAAAGCGTTAAAGAAACATCAAAGGAATTGGTTTTATCACCTCGGGAAAAAATTGAAACAAAAGAAAAGAAAATTGAAGAGAAATCTGATTTTCATGAAAATAATTCAACAATAGTCAACAATATTCCATTAAACAAAGAACTATTAAGTAATCCAGCTAGTCCCGAATTTGACAGTTCATTTTACAGTAGCGTGAGTTGTAATATTCGTGATAATCTTCTACATCATTTAGATGGAAAACTACAAAAAAATTCCACTTCCTCTTCAAATTCTTCCACATTAGATGTAAAATCCCCAACGACAACAACATTATATGAACCAAATCAAGTTCAATTTCCCATTGATATTTCCCTCACGGCCGTGACGCCAGTCTATAATAAAGATTATTCAAAGGAAAAATTGGAAAACTCAAGTGAATATGCACAAAAGCCGAGAAAAAATTTTAAATCACATCCACGTCGTGTGTCATTTGAAAAATATAATTTTCCCCGTAAATACGATGGTAAAGAACAATGGAAATGTTCAATAAAAGATTTAAGTAAATTTGATATTTCCACACAGTTGTCTCTTCGTAAGAAACAGCAGCTAATCAAAGAACGTGATAATTTAAATAGGTTGAATCAAATAACAAATTTTTCAAATACAAAGTCAGATATTATTCCAACAGATATTGAGTCAAATTCAAGTTCTAGTCGTATTGATAAAAATTCCGATGATGATAATACCAAAGTAGAAGATTCTTTTGAAAATAATCAACATATTAAAAAAACAACAGAAATTGAATTAACAGCCGATAGTACAATTGAATTTGCCCATTATCTAAGGCTTAAAAAATTGGATGAATCTGGCGATAATAATGGAAATGGAAATAATATTCATTACGCTGAACTCACTGGCGAATGGTCCAGACCAAGAATTTATATATGTAGAGCCTGCGGTGCAAAATATGTAAGTTTTTATTTTTCTAATAATTTAAATATTAAAAAAATTGTTTTTCTAAAGAATTATTAATGTTTAGGAAACACTAAAGGAAATGGAAGACCACAAAATAGCAACGCATCCAAATGTGTGGTGTTCTCATTATGAATTTGCTGGTGATCAATTGGAACTTTATAAACATCTCATTCTACCAGAAAAAAATCAAACAACCACAAAATCTAACACAGTGTCATTGGAAAAAACTTGTACCAAGTGCTCGAAAAATTGTACCACTTTAGCTGAATTTCATAAACATATGTTGGAATGTGGTGGTGATCAAACATGGCTCCTGGGACTCTTTGGTAATGGAAAGAAAAAATGTAAATGGCGACCATTTGGCAGTCGTAGTAGAAGACGTCGTAATCGTGGAATGAAAAGAAATATTCAAAATTCACAAACTCCAAGGGTCTACATTCCAAAGGAGAAACAACCATCAGGACCTCGTGTTCGACCAAGTGATCGTAAGTCTATCGCAAAAATTAATTTTCATTATTTTTATTAATAATTTTTTTTTTTCGAATTTACAGACGAAAGTATTCAAAAAATGCTTGCCAATCTACCACCAAAACGAGCAACTCGAAAAGTCTTACAGGAAAGTGCTGCACGTTCTCAGGGTCGATTGCGAAATGTAAGAAAAATCTTTTTAAATTTTAATTCCTGAAAGAATTCTCAGATAATTGCAATTATCAAACCAAAATATAAAATTTAGAAAACTTAAGTAATGATAAGGAAATATTTTAAGCTATTGATTACTATAGACGAACTTTTGCATGTTCATGAATGCTCTTCGATCAACACAAACTTTCATCATCACGTTTGTGTATTCACCCTTCATTTCACGATAATTTATAAATGAGTTAAAAGAACCCTTTGATATTCCTTTCATTGCTGATCATAAAATTAAAACATTTAAAAAATTCTAAAACTCAAAATTGATCAAAAATTAAATTACAAATTTTTTTATTCAATTTCTATATTTTAATTAAAATTATAAAAAATTTCTATCTAGGTTCAAACAAAAGCGAGATCAAACCTAGTCGATAATTCTTCAACTCGTCTTTCACGCAATAAGGCAGCTCTACGTAACAAATTATTGAAAAATGCAAAATCCTTTCAACGAAAACGATGTCGAAATGATAATATTTCAGCAGCGATTGAAACAGTTGTTAATAATTACAATGCAGAAAAACATTCGGATGAGAAGATGAACAAAAATATCGAATCACAAGAAACAAATAAAAGTGATGCAACAAAAAATGAATCCAACACTCGTTCAACAAAAGTTATAAAAAATATCAAAGTCATCAGCAAGAAGAAAAATATTAAATCAAAACAAGCACTAATCCGACGTGTTCAACAATCAAAAATTCGTGGGATCAAGTCAAAAAATACAGGAGAAAAAATAATTGACTCAAAATTAGATGGAGTAGTTCAAGTTTCAATTAGACGATCTTCTAAGGATGAAATTAATAAAATCGATAATGATAAATCAGAAACTGAAACTTTATCAACTAGAAAAAAGAAAACATCAAATCCAGTTGTATCTTTAAATGCATCGATAAAAGCAAAAGCACAATTAAGAACAATTGATGGTAAATTTGCTCGAGGTTCTGTAAAAAATTCCAAAACCAATCAATCTTCCAATGAATCGCAAATAAAGAAAAAAATTTCCATCACTGCTGGTCGTTTTCTTCGATCAAAACTCAAAGTCGCTCAAAATTTAATGAAAGACGCTGTAAAAACATCAAGAAGAAATTCAAGATTATCAACTGATAAAATCATTACCACCGAAGTTGAATCAATTAATGAAGAAACAACAAAAAAAGTGTCGAATGATTCAACAAAAATTTTACGCACTTCTTCGAGAAATTCATCAATAAATAGAAAAGAAATAAATAATGAAAAATGTATTGGTGTCAAAAATAAATTGGAAGAGGGAAAAGGAAAAAGACTGAATAAAATTGCAAAAAAAGCAAATGAATTGAAAGAAGAAAATATTGAACAACCAGAAAATACAACACGAGGACGACCACGAAAAAGTTTACCTGGTAAAATTACTGAAACTAAAAATATTACTCTAAGAAGACACAGTAGTACAAGTATCAAGGTGAATAAAGAAGAAAATATAAATAGCGAGACAAAAAATGAAGATTTAGAAAATAAGAAACAAAAACAAGAACAACTTTCACCTGAAAATTCGCTAAAAAATTTAAAAAAGAATATAAAATCGAAAAATTTTAATAAAAAGACAAAAATTACTTCTGAAAAAGAAAAAACTATTTCTTCTCCTCCAGTTGTTGGAAAAAAAGAAAAAACTAACGCTATGAGAAAATCGCCAAGAAACGCCGAAAAAAATAATACATCAATTAATAAAGAATCCGATAAAATCGAAGTTGATAACGAAAGTCCAAAATTAACGGAAATTTCAAAAAGTGAAACTGAATCAACAACGGAAAAAGTAGAAAAAGAAAAAGAAGAAGAAGTTACATGCGAAATTAAAACAACTGAAATAAAAGAAGATGAAGTAAAAAATAAAGAAATCACAACTGATGAAATAATTTCAAAAGTTCCTGAAACATCAGACTTAATTAATTTTAGCCTCGATCACATTCATCAAGAATCATGTAATTCAAATATGGATAGTGGCAAGGAAAATTCATTAGAAATATCGTTAAATGTCGCTAAATTAAAAGTAACACGCCAAAAGAAAACGAGAAATTCACGAAAAGAAAGAACATCAAAGAGATCATTAAACAATGTAATTGGAATATTAACTGAAGGTGTTAATATTCCAATTGAAGCACAAGAAAGTGTTGTTCTAACTTTACAAACATCACTCGAAGTCAATAATACTGATAATTCATTTAATAACGATTCTGCTCGCTCTGAAAATAATCTCACAAATGATAAACCATTGGAAATTGCAAATAATTTAGATTCAAGTATTCAAAATAATTCAACATCTATGGAAATAAAAGAATCTAAAACAAATGAAAAGAAAGAAGAAGAAGAACAACAACAACCAAAAGTTGATGAAACTTCACCAACAACTGACATTATTTTAGATCTTTCAAGGAGAAAACCAAAAGGTAAAGGATCATTTTTAGAAAGAATTGTTTCTAAAATTGCAAAAAAGAAAGATGTTTTATTAGAAAGTGATGCTGGATTTTCACTAGGAAATGTAAATTCAGATTTAAAAAATGTTTTAAACAACATTGCTCCAATTTTATCGGAAAATATTTCTGAAAGTTCAGAAAAGAAAAATGAATCAAATCCCGAATGTCAGTCTGAAAATGAAAATATAAACATCAATTTGAATAATTCTATCGATGATGATAAAAAAGAGGAAAAATCAACACGAAAATCAAAAAAGAGATCATTGGAAATAAATTCACCGAAGAAAAATAAACGAAAAATCACAACTCAAGTGCCAGAAGAAGAAATTGAAGTGGAAAAAGAACTTAGTTTTGGAGATATCATGTCCCTTGTTCACAAATCTGAAGTTCCTGTTGAAGACATTCCCGAAGAGCCAATGATTCCTGCAGAGGATAAAACTAATAAAAATACAGAAGATAGTAAAGATAATGAAAACCATAATGAAGTTTCAAAACAAAATACAGAATCTCCAAAGAAATCAAAACGAAAACGAAATTCTGAAAATCAAGACGAAATAAATAATTCTGATTTGAAAAAAATTGTTGAACCTCAAAAAATAACACGCAAATCAACACGAAATTCACAAAAACAAGATGAAGAAATTCAAAATGACGAAATAGATAAACTCTCCAAAAATGGAACAAGAAAATTAAACTCAACAAATGATTTAAATTTAAAAAATCAATTTTCTGAAGAAAGTGATGATTCCGAATGTGTTGAAACTATGAAAAAGAAACAATCCGATAAAGAAATTGACAAAGACACTGATTCTGAAATGTTCAAAGTGCCGAATACTTTTACAAGTAAACGATCATCAAAACGAAAATCTCTTCTCTTAAATGAAACTTTAAATAATTCCGATGATTTATTATCCGAAGATTCCAGTACCAGTGAATCAACATGTGAAGAATCGCCAACTAAATCAATAAAAAGAAAATATTCTAAACGTAAACAAACAATTGACACTCCATCAGAATCAGAAGACGATATGTCCACAGATTCATCTCTAACGAAAGAAAATGAAATTGATGAAAGTCACATTGGAAAACGTCAGAAATTAGGAAGAAAAGCCAAACAAAATATTTCTTTAGTTGATGAACATATTTTACTTCCCGATGATGAAACATTAATAAATGACGATGAATCTTCAAAAGAAGAAGAGGCAAATTTCACAGAAAAGAAACGACCAGGAAGAAAACCGAAAAATCAAAATTTAATTCAACCTTCAATTGAAACTTCTAAAATAACAGGCGATCAAATAATTTCAGAAATTATTCCAACTATTCAAGTGGAGAAAAAGCGACCTGGTCGTAAACCGAAAAAAATTCTCAAAGAGAGTATTCAATCGGAAAAAATAATTGAAGTAAATAATGATAAAAATGAGATTTTCGAAAAACCCGAAGAGAAATCAAGTGAAGAAATAGAAACATCTTTCGAGAAGACAGAAATGCTCCAAATTTCAGAAAGAAAACGTCCTGGAAGAAAACCTAAAAAAAATCTTCTTGATGAAAATCCTCAACTTTCAAATGATGAAATTCCAATGCAAATTGAAATCCCAGAAGAAAATGAATTACTAAAAATCGAAGAGAAAAAACGACCAGGAAGGAAACTTAAAAAAGAAAGCAATAATTCATCGATAACTGATATTTCAAATATTTCGGAGGAAAAAAAAATTAACGACGATATATTAATCGATCAAGAAGTAAAATCTGATTTGGAAACAAAAGATGATTCAAAATTAACAGACAACATAGAAGTTGAAATAAATTCTTCAATTCCAGAAGAATCATTAGAAAATCAAATAGAAAAGAAACGACCTGGAAGAAAAGCAAAGAAAATTGTATCAGAAGATGAAACTTCATTGTTAATTCGACAAAATGAAACTACTAAAAATGTAAATGAAGAAATAAATGAGCAATTAAATATTTCTAAAGAATCGACAATTGTACAAATTGATGAAACTAAATTAGAAAAGAAAAAACCGGGAAGAAAGTCGAAAAAAGATATTTCCTTGTCTGAAGATGATCAAGAATCCTCGACAATAATTAACAATAAAAATCAAGAAACGGAACAATTAGAAAAAGAAGATAAATCATTGGATTCTAATTTAGCAAAATCAATTGAAAAGAAACGACCAGGAAGAAAACCAAAATTAAAAATTCCAATAGACGATATTTCTATGGATACATCATCATCTTCAGAAGTCGTAGAAAAAATAAATGATCAAATTACAGAAAAAATGGATAATTCCGAAATTATCGATCAAATTAATTTTGACAAGAAACGTCCAAAACGAAAGTCAAAAATTATTCCTACAGAAGAATTAAATTCAAAGGACGATTCAGTAATTATTAAAGACGACACATTAGTTTCAAATTCATCAATTCATCAAGAGGAAAAGAAAATTAACATAGAAATTAATAATTCTAAAGAAGATCACGAATTTGAATCAACTGAAAGAAAAAAACTCGAACGTAAAGCAAAGAAAAATATCTCCTTAATCGATGAGCATCTTAATCTTTCTGATGATGTATTTCCAGAAATAGAAAAAGAAATAAATCCAATAAATTTCATTGAAACAGAAAAAGTCGAAACAAAAATCATCGAAAATGATGTTCCATTAGAAAGAAAACGTCCTGGAAGAAAATCGAAGAAAAATATATCCCTAATTGATGAACATCTTGATCTTTCCGATGATTTACCGCTACAAAATGAAGATCAAAATTTAAATATTAATCCAATAGAAATAAATACAAATGAAGAATTGAAAAAATTGGAACCTATTGTTTCTTTAGAGAAAAAACGTCCGGGAAGAAAGCCAAAGAAAACAGTCACTGAACTTAATTCTGAACAAAATAATTTAATTTCCACAGATGTTGATCAAGTATTAGAAGAAAAGGAAGAGATTTCAAAATCAATTATTGAAAATGAAGAAAAAGAAAAGAAGAAACCAGGAAGAAAATCTAAAAAATCTTCTCTCCCTGAGGATACTATTACAAATGATAAAATTGAATTACAAGAAAATAAAATTGAAAATCCACTTGATAATACTTCTCAACAAGATGAATTCACAGAAAGAAAACGTCCAGGACGTAAATCGAAAAAATACATCTCTCTTTGTGAAGAACATCTTGCTCTACCTGATGATGAAGAAATTGATCTTTCAGAAATTTGTAAAATTGATGAAATTATTTCTGATAAAGAACAAAATGTGACAGAAGAAAAAATAGAAAATACAACAGATCAATCTGTGGAAAGAAAACATTTTGGAAGAAAAGCTAAAAAAACTATTTCTCTAATTGATGAACATCTGGAATTACCAAGCGATAATCCTATTAATAATTCAACGATCGATTCTATGAATGATACAAACGAAATCACAGAAGAAATATTGGATGAATCGAAAAATGAATCCTTGGACAAAAAACGAAATGCATCTTCGGATAGAAAACAAAAAACACCTAAAAAGAAATTATCTAATCTTTTTTATGATGAGTCAATTCACCAAAAGGACGATTCTAATGAAGTAAAGGAAAATAAAAATGAAATAATAAACAGCAAACTTGAAGTTATTTCTTCAACATTAGACAACATTACATCTATTTTAGAAAAAGAAGTTTGTCAAAAAACATCAACAAATGAAGTTTTACAATTTTCATCAGAAATCCCAAAAGAAAACGATAAAATCGAAATAACGGAACAAAATATTTTCGAAAAAGAATTATCAAATTCCAAAGAACAGGAAATATCTCTTGAACCAAATTCTAATCAAGATCCACAAGAATCAAAAGAAGCAACCGATGATTTTCAAACACCAAAAAAACGTCCTATTGGAAATTTTGCTGTAGTTCATACAAAAACAGGTGAAATTTTAATTGTCGAGAAAAAGAAAAAATTAACAAAAGAAGCTGCTAAATTTTTCTGTGATATTTGTGCAACAAGTTTTACTCGTAGAAGTTCATTAAAGAAACACAATCTTTCTCAATCGCATCTCATTCAAATTCAACATTCAGACAAGGATCAAGATAAAGAAATTTCATCTGTTATTGAAGAGAAAAATCTTGATAATCTTGAAAAAACAGAAAAAATGGATTTACAAAATGAAAATCCTGCCGATAATTTGGATGTTTTAAATCAACTTCTCGATCAACATTTTAAAGAAAAAGATTCACAGGAAAAACAACAGCAACCACAAATTCCAATAATAATTCCATTTGTTGAAAAACCATTGCCAATAGAACAGGAACAAGAAAATATGGACGATGATTTACTTGATGAGGAGATTTGCAAAATTACCGAAAATATGACACACGATGAATATGTATTGACTGATCATATTAGTCCCGTATTTCCCGAGGCAGCTTCCACGCCAATTAAAAATTTATCATCAAAAATAGAATCCAGTGAAACAAAAGAGAAAATTACTAAAAAAGAGAAAAAGAAAAGAAATTTAGCTGAAGAACATTTAGATCTTGACACTCCTGATCCAATTTTAGATGTCGATTCACAAAGTTCTATGGAAAAATCATCAATAAATGAAAATTCAAATTTAATTCCTGACAATTCTACAACTGAAATTTTGATATCAAAAATATTAGAAATTCCAAATAAAACCAATGAAACTGAAAATATTTTAGTTACACCTAAAGAAAAACGAAAACGTAAAGAAAATTCTTCACACGATGAAGAAAGTTTAGAAAGTGAATCATCAATGAAACGTGGATCATTAAGATCGACAAAAAATCAAGAAAAAGAAATTTCCCGACCAAAGAGAAATCAAAATAAACAAAATTATAAAGAATACGAATGTTATGATTTTGATCAAGACGATTTAGAAATTGAAATTTCAACAACAAAACGAGAAACTTTAAAATCAAGAAAAAATACTTCAACTCTAAATTTATCAAAATCAAAAAAAAATCAAGATCTCACTGAAAAATTAGAAAAAAAACAAGATAATAAAAATACAAATTTTTCCATAGATTCATTAACACAAAATTGTGAAATTGAAACAATTTCACCAGAAATAAATTCAAAAATTCAAAATTCAAACTCTAAAACTGAATCATTATTTGACGAAGAGGAAAGTACGAAATTAAATTTTTTGAATCTTACCGAAACATTAAAAGTTCAAACTGATCAAATAAATTGCAATACAAATAATTCAATAAATACCGAATTTGACAGTGACGATAATTCATTAAATACAGACATGTCCGTGGATATACAAAAATTACTCGATGATCCTGAATTGAGTATGGATAACAATAGTCTTCAACCTTATATACAAACTGAATTTACTAATAATATTTCACAAAAAGTTATTGAATTGAATTCAGAACAAGAAAGTTTACCATTGATTATTAATATTGAGAATAAAATTCAAAATAAATCACCAAATGATAAAATTGAAAATAATCAGAATGAAAAAATTGAAGAAAGCAAAATTGAAAGTGAAAAAAATAAAATTGAGGAAAAAGAATCGAAAATTGAAAATGAAAACAAAAAGGAAGAAGAAGAAGAGACAATTTCAAAATCAGAAAAAACTACCCCAAAGGGACAAAAAGGGAAATCAAAACAAAAGAAAGGATCAATTAAAAATAAGAAATCAAATTTAAATCACAATGAATTTAGTGATAATGAAGATGCATTAGAATCACAAAGTAAAAATAAAATTGTTCGCAGTGTATTTGGAAGAGTTTTTGCTGGTGAAAAAGTCGATAAAGTTAGAGAGGTCCTTGACGATTGGAATTCAAAATCAGAAAGTTCCGACAATGAATTAAATCGTTCCAAAGATGTTGATTCACCAAAATCAAGAAGAGAATCAAAAAAGAAAGAATCTAATAAAAAAAATTCAAAACATCGATCAAGAACATCGTCAACATCAACAAGTACAAGTGGAAAATCATCACAAAAAAGAAAAAATGAAAATGAACAGGAAACATTTACTAGTAAAAAACAAAATTCACGAAATTCTTCTCAAGATGATATTCAATTGAAAACAAATAGAGTTGAAAATTCTTTAGGTACATCAGAATTATTAATAACAAGTTCAAGATGTAGACAAAGTAAAAAGAAAGCTGAAGAACGTATTTCAACAATTTCCAAAGCATTCGAAGATGAATCATCAATACCCGATGATGATCTTATAATTAAGAGTCAAAAATTATCAAAAAATAAAGAAACTTCCAATGAATATAAAAATCAAATGAAAAATATTTCCGAAAATAATTTTTACTCAGACTATAAAGAAGAAGAGGAAATTCCGAAAAAGATGAAAAAAACAAATGATGAAGAAATTGACAACAAATCTGAATATTTGAAAAAAAATGAAGAATTTAATTTGCAGGAGTCATCAAGTCAAAATATTGAACAATTAAATCCAAAGAGTCCATCAAATATTTCACAATTAACGCAAAATTCAGAAGATGATGATGAAGATGAACTTGAAGATGTTCTTTTAAGAAGACGAATGTCACCATTTTTCGATTATAATAATTCCTATACATCATTGGGAAGCAGTACAAATGATGAATCAAGTGATGAGGAACAAAAAAATTATCAAGAAAAAGAAGAAGAAGAAGAAGAAGAAGAAGAAAAAAATCCCTTACGTAGAAAAAGTTGTTCAAGTGAATTTTCAGGTGAGAAAATTGTTATTCGTTCACCAATTGCAAATCACGAGATGAGAGCCGAAGTTGTAACAATAGCGCCAACAGATGCTATTGAAGATAATGCTCTCGATGTACCACAGGAAATTATTTCAGCAACTGCCGCTGTAACACAACATAAATCACGACAAGGAAAAGTTTTGAATTTTGATGAAGAATTATTTGTTGAATGTTGTTCAAGATTAAAAGCAACAACTGAAAAAGAATTACGAGGTGCTAAAAAAATAAAACTCGATCATACTGAAAATTATCGCAAAGAAATTCCCATACAATTTTTTGCCCCCTCTAAAGATCGTTGGAGAGACGCTGAGAGTCAAAATAGTTTGGGCAGTCTTCTCGAATCAGTTAATCAGGTATGAATTAATTTTTCATAATTAATTTTGTAAATACAATTAAAATTTTTTTTTTAAATTTTTAATTATTCAATATTTAATTTTAGCTATTGGGTGAGGAAATGTATGGCAACAATGATAAGGATAATCGCGGTCACGATAAACAAAGTGAACGTTCAAGTAGATCAGCAAGTCCAGATGCATCTCGTCCTGATAATCTTGGCTATGAGGATAGTTTAGACGTTGCTTTTGAGCACAATAACAAACTTCGGGATAAGATACAGCAACGTATGAGAGAAAGTGAAAATCTTATCTCAAATGCTTTTGGTCAAAAGAGTAATAACAGTGGGGATTATCAAATCAATCAATTTATACCAAGAGAAAATCGCGAGGAAATTGAATATAATTATGAACGAATGCAAAATCAATTTAATTCACCAAATTTAAATACAAATGGAATTTATAACAATCAATCTCTTCACGGTGGTCTTTTGGATAAAGCACTATCCAATTTATTACACAATAACGATAAACACGATCATAAGTAAGTTATAATTAAATAAATAAATAAATTTATAACAAAATTTTTCAAAATATTAACAAAACAAAAATTTAATTTTTCAGTGGATCAACACCAATGACAGTTTTAGCAGAACTTGCCTGTGCACGAGCTCCATCGTCAACACAAGATTCCATGAAATTCACATCAGAAAAGAAAGAATCAATTGCAAATATAACAAATTTCAAAGATTTTACAATTAACAAAAAAAGTAAAAATCCAATAAAAGAACTTTTTGAGCGTAAAAAAGAACTCTACGAAAGAAAACAAATTGAAAAAGCCAATGTTATTACAAAAACAAATTTACAAAAGGGAAAAAAATCAAAAAAATCGAAAAAACGCCAAGAATTTCCATTAATTCGCAACGATCAATACGATGGATTAGCTGAAAAGAAAAAACGACGCGATATTTTTGAAAAGAAAGACGATTTAAATTCATCAAAAACAAAAGATGTCTATGATTTTGAAGATGAAGAAAGTCAAATGGAATCTGGTTTTAGTTCAGTTTTATCCTATAGAAAAACAGAAACAAATTTCAAAGATTTAAATAGTTTAATATCAAAATCATCAAGTTTAGAAAATGATAGTAATTTTAGTAAACGTTTGGAATCAATAATTGATAATAAATTGAAAAATAGTGAAAAATTTGCACCAAAAACAAAAGGTGCACTAAAAGCATTTCAAAGTGAAGATAAATTAATCACCGGTCCAATGGATGATTTTGTTGAGAGAAAGAAAAATTCTAAACGTTCAATAGAACAAATAAATAAACATTCGAAACAAAAAAAGAAAAATAAACAAACAAAAAGAAAATCAAGAAATGCATGGTATGAAAATGATAGTTCTGATGAATTTATAACAGCGGCAAAAACTGAAGATGTAGGCGTTGGAATTTCCAAAAGTCAACGTACATGTTCAAAAGGCAAACAAAATCTTTTTGCTGAATTATCAACATCATCGGAAAGTGAATCAATTCAAAATGATAATGACGAAGAATTAATAATACAAAAACAAGATGAAAAAATAGAACAAAATTATCAAGATAGTTTAAATATCGAAGAGAGTAAAAAATCATTCGACGATATTGATAATGATACTTATAATTGGGATGAAAAAAATAATTTATCAACAACTGATTCTGAATCAGAATCAGAATTAATTATTGACTTAAAAAAAGATAGCGAAGAAAATAAAGAAGAAATTTCTGATGATGATGAGAAAGATGATAAAATAATAGAAAATTCTGAACAATCAAAAAAAGAATGGATTCCACTTGAAGAGGCTCTCAATTTATTAGAAAAAAATGATAATCTTGATGGTATAACAAAGGAAATGAAAATTTTTGCCAAAGCATCAAGAACAAAAGCAATAAGAAGTGAAAGTGAAAGTTCTAATAATAAATTTAATAAAGAATCTAAAGAAAATCACATTCCACAAGATGAACAAGAAACACAAAATGATGATTTATCAGTACTACCGGAAAAACTTACAACAAATGAAAAACCAGAAAAAGAATCGGGAAATCTTCCTCTTCATGTATTTCTTAGTAGAAAAGTACAAGAATCAAAAAAACGTAAACAATTACAACGTAAAAATAAAAAATTACAACAAGCATCAATGACAAATTTTGAACCAATAAGAAGACAACGTAAATGTGCAATTGGAAAACAAGGACTATTAGCTGAAATAAGTAGTTCCGATGATGATGAGGATTTTACAAAAATTTCCCATCGACGCTCTAAAGAAAAATCAGAAAATGAAAAATCACGTAAACCAAAAAAAGAATCAAAAGAAAAAAGAAAAGAAAGATATATTGAAAAGAAACACGAGCAAATGATTGCTAAGGAACAAAAAGCAATTGAAGAGGAAATTTTACGTGAATTGGGTAAAAATAAAGATGAAATGAAAAATTCTGATAATGAACAATTGGAAAATGAACAAGAAAATAATGAAAAGCAAAATAAAAAGAAACATCAAAATAAAAAAAATTCTCACACTGATGAAATTGAAGAGAATGAATCATGTGATTCTGAAGCGGAGAGAAAATTGTCAAAAACAAATCAAAAATGTAAGAAAAATATAAAAAAAAATAAAAGTAGACGTAATTCAATGTCAAGTAGTAAAGATTCAAAAGAACGTAGATTATCAAGTAGTAAACGTGATTCAGATGATGAAGAATTGAGAACAACAAAATCATGGAATAAAGTTGATGACGATGTTGGCGTGGCAATTGGAAGAAGAAAACGTGCAGCAGCAAATCAACTTTATTATTGGTCGAGTTCAAGTGATGAGGATGAAATGATTGAAACAACACCTATAGCCGAAGAAGAAAATGATCGATTAGAACAACATGGTTGGATTGTTGGTGATTCGCATAAAAAAATGATCACCATGCTGGCAATGGAAAAACAATTAAAAGAAAAACGTCGTCGCAGTGAGGATGAATTTGAATCCGGCAAGGGAAAAAGCAAAAAACACAGAAATAGTACGTCTTGATACGTATTTCACGATTAGATTTCTTAAAAAAATTTTTTAGCTAAATTTTTTTTTAATTTTAATTCTAAAAAAGGAAGCGAATTTTTCTTTATTTTAAATGAATTTTTTTTTTTATGGCTTGAATTATAAAAAATGCCTTTCCGTATTAAATTTAATTATAACACATTACTGCCACAAAAATAATTTTTTTTTTTTCAAATTAGCATAAATTTCTATTTTAAATTATCAGTTTGTAATTAATACAAAAAAAAAAGTATGGAAAGATGTAAATATTTGTTTTACGCAATACGATAGCGTAACCCCCTTCGAATAATAATCGATAGTTGATATGAATACGATTATACGGTAATATGATTAGACTGAATAAAAAAAATTATAAACGAAAATAAGATCACGCAAAGGGCAGTTTTAGGACAATACTAGTACATTTTTTTTAATGTTTAGTTTATATTTAATTTATAGGGAAATTTTTTTGCAAAAGTAATATTTAAGAAATCAATTTATATAAAAAAAAAAATCAATTCCAATGGACATTGTAAATAGGGGTCCAATTCAAAAATGCTTTTGCTAGCTTTTGTGATTTCATAACTATATATATACAACATATCTTATGAAAAAAAAAAAAAAATTGAAAAAAATATTTTCTTTTTTATTTGGTGCAAAAAAAAAAAATTCGTATTTTGTTTGTGTTGTGACTAATAAAGATCTCATTATGTGTCACGATTCAAAAATGCCCGATGCATTATATGCTATATATTGTTAATGCGAAAAAAAAAATCGTGATCACTTCGTTTTTAAGCCTATAGTGGGTGCACATAAATAGCGAGTACCTTCACAAAAAAAAATTTGCATATTGAATAAATATTATATATATATATATTATATTATAAACGTTATATGTATAACATAACGATTAATTATAATATAGATTTTATTGTAAATGTACTGCCATAATCATATTATCAGAATGAAAGCCTATTAAATAGTTATATTATTATTTCTGTAAAGACGAGAGTGTTTAGCACAAAAGTAGAAATATCCAGTGTAAATAGTACATATTTTCAATGTGTCTGGAAAAGTATGTTTTGTAATATAAGCATTGCGAAGGAAAATAAAATTAATAATTAAGAAAAAAAAAGAAAATTAATTTTTTTCCCCGTTATTTTTATATTATTTTTTAAAAATTTAATTATTTAAATATTTTTTAAAAAATTTAATTATTAAAATATTTTTAAAAAATTCAATTATTAAAATATTTTTAAAAAATTTAATTATTCATTAAAATATTTTTTAAATATTTAATTATTTATTAAAATATTTTTTAAAATAATTTTTAGAAATATTTTAATAATATTTAATTTAATTACCTATAATTATTAAATAAATTAATTTAATTATTAATTCTTTAATTATTCATTAAAATATTTTTTAAACATTCAATTATTCATTAAAATATTTTTAAAAAATTTAATTATTCATTAAAATATTTTTTAAAATATTTAATTATTTATTAAAATATTTTTTATAAAAAATTTTGAGAAATATTTTAATAATATTTAATTTAATTTTAATTATTAAATAAATTAATTTAATTATTAATTCTTTAATTATTCATTAAAATATTTTTTAAACATTCAATTATTCATTAAAATATTTTTTAAACATTTAATTATTCATTAAAATATTACATTAAAAAATATAATATTCGATAAACATATCAAGTAATTATTCATCTGTGACTGTCGCCGTTTAGCGCCAAAAACTCAGAGAATTTATGGGTTATGTTCATAAATCCAATTAAAAATATTTAAAAAAAAGGAATATTTGCAATAACTCACCGATCCTAATGACGAAATTCATTTTAAAACAAAATGAATTGATTGATCAGGATTGAAATAAAAAAAAAAAATTAAAATTTCGATGTCGATTACGATAATCTTCTTTCGACGTAATTGTTGCAGGAATAATTTTATTCCTGCCAGGAAACTATAAACTTTATTTCACTAATTTTAATCGTTAACAATTGATATTCAGCTAATTATCTATTTTTATCCACTTTAACTTTTAATTAATTCGTGAAAATCAAAAAGTACACCAGAGAAAAAAAGACAAGAAACCGTTAACCGTTGTACGTTTGTACATACTATACTTTTTTTCTCAAGTACAGTGCTGACAACTGCTAAAAAATATATCGAAAAATATCGAACTTTTGAAATCAAATAATATTTTTTTATATAGACGTTTATATAGGCCCGTTTAAAAAATAAAAAATATATAAATCAATTTTTTTTTTTTTTGTAAATAATTACTAAAATATTGTAAATATAATTATTTAAACAAATTAATTAAACGAATTTAAAAATTTCAATTTAACATTGATTTCAACTGCGCATGCGTACAGTACATGACGCCGTGAAAATTATTCGAGCGCCAAAATTTTTTTAGGTTATGTACGCTATAGCGTCAAAATTGTAATTATAAATATTTTTTCAATAACTCACCTATTCTAACGATAATTAGCTCAAAGACAATAATTCCCGTTTATTTAATCGACAAATTATTCATAAAATACGATGGATGTCGAATACGATAGTCTTCTGTCGCCACGATTGTTGCAGGGTACAATTTCATTCCTGCGAGCGAAATTCTTCCAATCGAGACTCTACTTTAATGATTTTAATCGTTTAAGATGAAATTCTTCTACAATTATTCACTTTAACTTTATTTAACTACTAAAAGATTGATAAATACTCGCGAGCAACAAAATATTGAACACGTACGGCGTCGTTCAGCAACGTTCTGTACTTTTCTCTCAAGCGCAGTGCTGACAACCGCTGAAAACTAGATTCAAAAGTAACTAACTCTTGAAAGCAAAAACGATCATTTTTATAACTATTACTTCATAAAATATAAAAATATTTAAAGCAGAATTCTTTTTTTGTAATTAAATGTTAATATAATTAGTAAGAAAATTAATAAAGTGAATAAAATAATAAATAGTTTCAAAGTTTTCAACAGCGCATGCGTACAGTACAAGAAGCCTAGTGAATTATTTGAGCGGGTAAATTTAAAATGTAAAATATAAAATTAATTAATTATTTGCAATTATTTATTGTTATTTGTATTTTTTAATATTAATTTTTGTGTTTTGTTACTTTTTTTTTAATAATAGGGGAAATTTTCAATTGTTTGTGATTTAAATTTTCCCGCACGTGTAACACGAAAACATGGAAATCTGGCAACACTGCTTTCTGCGATACACAAAGATTTTCGATCAAACAATCAAGCGGCAAAAGTTTTTGTTTAAAGAATATTTTAATAATTATCAATCATGAAAATCGAAGAAGTTAAAAGTACTGCTAAAACACAGAGAATTTCTGCTCATACACATATTAAAGGTTTGGGTTTAGATGAAAATGGAGTGGCAAATCCAATGGCAGCGGGACTTGTTGGTCAAGAAATGGCTAGAGAGGTTAGAGAAAATTTTTTATTTTCACATTGATGATATAAAATATTCTTTATATTATTTATTATTATTCGTTTGATTTTTAAATATATTTAATTAAAATATATATTAATTTGTATTTGACATTTTGGCTTTCGTTTTATTTTTGTAACAACATAACCTCATTTTATCATGCCGGCGTTTTATTGCAATAATTTTCAAATTTAATTAAATAAATTATTTTTCTAAATTTTAATAATTAAATTAATGAAAATTTTACCTTAGGCTGCCGGAATTGTTGTGGATATGATAAGATCGAAAAAAATGGCAGGAAGAGCTGTTCTTTTGGCAGGTCCACCAGGTACTGGAAAAACGGCAATTGCCCTTGCAATAGCACAAGAATTAGGTAATAAAGTGCCATTTTGTCCAATGGTTGGCTCTGAGGTTTATAGTTCGGAAATTAAAAAAACTGAAGTACTTATGGAGAATTTCCGTCGGGCAATTGGACTTAGAATTAAGGAGACAAAAGAAGTTTATGAGGGTGAAGTCACTGAATTAACACCAATTGAAACTGAAAATCCAATGGGCGGTTATGGTAAAACAGTGTCACATGTTATTGTTGGATTAAAAACAGCAAAAGGAACAAAACAATTAAAATTAGATCCATCTATTTATGAATCATTGCAAAAGGAAAAAGTTGAGACTGGCGATGTAATTTATATTGAGGCAAATAGTGGTGCTGTTAAAAGACAAGGCAGAAGTGATAATTTTGCCACTGAATTTGATTTAGAAGCCGAGGAATATGTTCCTTTACCCAAAGGTGATGTTCACAAAAAGAAGGAAGTCATTCAAGATGTTACTTTACATGATTTGGATGTTGCAAATTCAAGACCACAAGGTGGACAGGATATTATGTCAATGATGGGACAATTAATGAAACCAAAGAAAACGGAAATTACAGGTTCCCTTTTTTTTTACAAATTTAATTTTTGAAAATTGTATTATTTTAGTAGGGAAAAATTAAGTTTCTATTCTGTTTTTTTTTCAGATAAATTAAGAAAAGAGATAAACAAAGTGGTGAACAAATATATTGATCAAGGAATTGCAGAATTAGTTCCCGGTGTTTTATTCATAGACGAGGTGCATATGTTAGATATTGAAACATTTACATATTTGCATCGTGCATTGGAGAGTGCAATTGCTCCAATTGTAATATTTGCAACAAATCGTGGTCAATGTATTATTCGTGGAACGGAAGATATTGTTTCATCTCATGGAATACCATTGGATTTATTGGATCGTCTATTGATAATAAAAACTTTGCCTTATGCAAAAAATGAAATTGAACAAATTGTTAAATTACGAGCAACAACGGAGGGATTACAAATTGATGATGAGGCACTTACAACACTTGGTGATCTTGGAACAAAAACAACACTTCGTTATGTTGTACAACTTCTCACGCCATCGGCATTAATTGCCAAAGTTAATGGAAGGACGAATATAAAAAAAGAGGATGTCGACGAAGTGGAAAATCTTTTCCTTGATGCAAAATCATCGGCAAAAATTCTCACTCAACAGGCTGGCAAATTTATGAAATAGTTTTGTTTGTTTTTTTTTTCTTTTCACCCAAAAAAATTTAGTTATAAAAATAATTTCTTAAAATGAACTTTAAAGAAAAATAGAAATTTAGAAATATTTTCATAGAGAATTTAAGAAAATAGTTCTTGGCTGAGTATTTTTAAGTTTTGAATGACGAATCATTTAACGACGTACAAAAATGTTAGAAAAATAATTTCCATAAGGTTTTCATAAATGACTATTTTTTTAATTTCTTCAAATACACTCCAGAAATTTAGTTTTGTTATGGAATTTCAACGAAATAATTTATTTTAATTTACAATTTCAATTTGAATAAAAATTCATATAATTGTTTAAATTGAATAATTTATTAATAAACCTGAAAATTTAATTAAAAATTCTTTTTTTTTCGTAAAAAAAAAAAATAAAAGGGTTTTTTTTTCGCATTGAGAAAGAGTTGACAAATAGTAAAAATAATTTTTCTGCGTGTCAGGGTTAGAAAAGTTCAAATTGTAATCAGCGTGTTGTGACATCAATGAGAGATAACTTCACACGTGAGTATAAAATCTGAGTTCCACTTTTTTAATGTCCCGCAAAGTTGTACAATGTGCTTTATAAATTTTAGTATCACTTCGATGTTTTGAATGATTAGTTGAATATTATAATCGTATTAACGAAAATAATAATAATAATAATGCAATTTATTTTTCGATTGTCAGGTCACGGAAGAAATTTACGTGTACAAAAAAAACATTCACGAGGATTAAAATTAAATCATGTTCGTGCTGCGAGATTTGAAAAATTATTTCCACCAAGGGAGGAATTTGAGATGCGTCACATTGGACCCAGAATTCAAGATCAAAAGGAAATGCTCAAAACTTTGGGTTTTAAGGTAATTGAAAATTTATATTTAATTATTTTTTTTTTAATAATTATTGCAGTAAAATATTTTAAATAAAATAGATTCAAAAAGAAAAATTAATTTCATTTCTAATAATTTTTTTAATTTTTTTTTAGTCCCTTGATGAACTAACTTCAACAGCTGTGCCAATTAATATTCGTTGCAAAAATGATTTGGATATCGAAAAGCCCGTTAGTGAGTATATAATTAAATTTTTTTACAAGAAATTATAAGAAAAAAAAATTGATAAGAAATTAAGTAACCCAAAAGAATTTAAAACGTGACTATTCACGAGACTTAAATATTCAAATCAATTTTATTTTCTTGTTTTATCTTCTATAATTATAACAAAGAGGTCAAGCAAGTATAATTTAAATAACATTTGTTAAAATCGATTAAAACGATTTACATTCTAATTTTTAATTTATAATATTAAAAAAAAAAAAATTTCTGTAATGAAAATTCAACTTTTAAAATCTTTTTTTTTTTACTTTTGTTCTTACATTTTGTATTATTTAGTGTTCAAGATTAGACATTAAAAAATGTTTTCAAATTTTTTTTTTCGCGTTCTAAATAACAGAGAGACAATTTTATATATCTTCGAAAATAAGTGGACTGTAACTGATAATAATTGTTTCGTGAAAACAAATTATTCCCATTGATTATAAGTTAAAGTTCACATATTTTATATCGTAAGAAGAAGTCACACAGAGGTCAAGCTCGTGTTACAAAACTCGGTTTCACGTGATTTTTTTTTAATTTCTTATTTTTTCGTACTATTATTAGGAAATTTTGTTCTAATCACAAAATTGAAATTATGTTTTTAATTTTTTTTTTTCTTTATTTCAGCCGAGTATGATTTATTAAAAAGAGTTATTGAAATTTCCGAGAAGAATAAAATTTGGAAATCTTACATTGGAATGGGTTATTATAATTGTTGTGTACCTCATACAATTTTGAGAAATATTTTTGAAAATCCCGGATGGTGAGTTTATTTTTTCCAAAAATATTTTATTATTCACTAATTAATTTATTGGTAATTTTAAATTCAAACCACAATTGGGTCAATATATTAACTTTTGTCCGTTAAGGTCATTTGAAAAAAATTTTAATTTCAAATATGTGTTGATTAATTAACTCTGAGACAATGTAAAATATTTAACATATTTAAAAATACATTTTAATTAAAAATTTAACAAATTTTAAGAATTTCTATTTGCAAAAAAAAAGGATTAAACTTCAAAAATATGAAATTTTTTTCAGGACAACACAGTACACGCCGTATCAGCCAGAAATATCACAGGGCAGATTGGAGGGTTTATTAAATTATCAAACAATGATTTGCGATATGACAGGAATGGAAATTGCAAATGCATCGCTTTTAGATGAGGGAACCGCTGCCGCTGAAGCATTAGCACTTGCCTATAGGCATAATAAGAGAAAAAAATTATTTGTCTCACACAATGTTCATCCACAAACAATAAGTGTTATTGAAACACGTGCCACATCATTGGGATTAAATCTTGAAGTTGGCGATATTTTTAAACTCGATACAAATGATAAAAATTATGCCGGTGTACTTTTACAGTATCCCGATACACGTGGATCAATTCATGATTTTACAAATGTCATCAATAAAGCCCATGAGAATGGAGTGAGTTAAAAATAACTATTTTTTAAAAATTTCGAAAATAGAAAAGAGAATATATTTTTTTTTTCCTTTTTAGACATTAGTGTGCGCAGCTGTTGATTTATTAGCATTGGCAATAATGCAACCACCACGTGAATTTGACATTGATATTTGTGTGGGAACGAGTCAACGATTTGGTGTTCCCCTTGGCTATGGAGGACCGCACGCAGGTTTTTTTGCATGTCGTCAAAAATTAGTGAGATTAATGCCAGGACGTATGATTGGAGTGACACGTGATACAAATAGAAAAGACGCTTATCGTTTGGCACTTCAAACACGTGAACAACATATTAGACGTGACAAGGCGACAAGTAATATTTGTACTGCTCAAGCACTATTGGCAAATATGTCAGCAATGTATGCCGTTTATCATGGACCGCAAGGAATCAAAGAAATTGCCAATAGAATTCATTATTTGACCCTAGCACTCGCTCATGGTTTGATCGATTCTGGAAATAAAGTCGAAAACAATTATTTCTTCGATACAATTACAATTTTACCAAAAAATCAAGCAACTATCAAGGAAAAGGCACAAGAGGCTAAAATAAATTTAAGGTAGCAAAAACAAAAAAAAATTTTTTCAATTACTAAACTAATTATTCAATTTAGATACAATCAAGATGGAACGATCGGATTGTCATTGGATGAAACAACAACAATTGATGATGTAAATGAATTATTGAAAATTTTCGATGTTGACGAGAAAATTAACGAAATTGTGGAAAAAGAATCATTTGGCATTAATGATCTCAATAAATCCCCTTTCGCAAGAAATAGCAAATATCTCACGCATCCAGTTTTTAATTCACATCATTCGGAAACGAGAATCGTTCGCTATATGAAAAGTTTGGAAAATAAAGACGTTTCTCTTGTACATAGTATGATTCCCCTGGTGAGAAAATTAAATTTTAATTTCTTTTTATTAAAAATAATATTTTATCCCAAATATTTCAGGGCTCGTGTACAATGAAATTAAATTCAACAACAGAAATGATGCCATGTAGTTTGCCAGGATTCAAAGATATTCATCCATTTGCTCCCGCTGATCAAACAAATGGATATCGGCAATTATTTGATGAATTGGAAAAAGATTTATGTGCAATAACGGGCTATGATAATATTAGTTTTCAACCAAATAGTGGAGCACAAGGGGAATATGCGGGTCTTCGTGCAATTCAATGTTATCATGAATCACAGGGTAATTTAGATCGTCAAGTTTGTTTAATTCCAGTATCGGCTCATGGTACAAATCCAGCATCAGCACAAATGGCGGGCATGCAAGTTGAACCAATATTTGTGCTTAAAGATGGTTCAGTTGATATTGAACATCTTAAGGAGATGATTGATAAATTTAAAAATCATTTATCGTGTTTAATGATCACTTATCCATCGACAAATGGCGTTTTTGAGGAGACAATTGGCGATGTTTGCGAAATGGTCCACAAAGCTGGGGGTCAAGTTTATCTCGATGGTGCCAATATGAATGCACAAGTGGGACTTTGTCGTCCCGGTGATTATGGAAGTGATGTCTCACATTTGAATCTTCATAAGACATTTTGTATTCCTCATGGAGGCGGTGGACCTGGAATGGGACCAATTGGAGTGTACGTTTCGATTTTTTATTTCATCTTTTTGAAGTTAGAATTTTTTTTTTTTCTTTTTTAGGAAAAAGCATCTTGCGCCCTTTTTGCCTGGTCATCCGATAATTGATACAGAAACGGGAATGATAAAAATCAATAAAGGTGTGGGTGCAGTTTCGGCAGCTCCCTATGGATCGTCGGCAATTTTGCCAATTTCTTGGGCCTATATTAAAATGATGGGACCCAAAGGTTTGAGAAAAGCAACGCAAGTGGCAATATTGAATGCAAATTACATGAGTAAACGCCTTGAGCATCATTATAAAACACTTTACAAAGGTATTAGTAATTTGGTGGCGCACGAATTTATTTTGGATATTCGTGATTTAAAAAAATCGGCAAACATTGAAGCCGTTGATATTGCAAAAAGATTGATGGATTATGGATTTCATGCGCCAACAATGAGTTGGCCGGTTGCTGGAACTTTAATGATTGAACCCACTGAATCGGAGGATAAAGGAGAATTGGATAGATTTTGTGATGCACTTATTTGTAAGTTAAAAAAAAAATATATTTTAGTTAAAATTTAATTTAGTCTATTAAAAACAAAAAAATTTTATCTAGCAATAAAAAAAGAAATTGATTATATCGAGAGTGGAAAATTCGATAAAAGTATTAATCCATTAAAAATGGCTCCTCACACACAAGAGGAGGTGATCAATTCAAAATGGGATCGTCCTTATTCTCGTGAAATTGCAGCTTATCCAGCCGTATGTAAAATAATTTAATTCTTTAAAAATTTATTTTTAATTAATAGAATATTATCTAATCTAAAATTTAATTTATTTTAATAATTACAGTCCTTTGTGAGAGACATGAAAATTTGGCCAAGTGTTGGAAGAATAGATGATATTTATGGAGATAAACATCTATTTTGCACATGTCCACCAATTCTTCCATCTCAATAATTTTACTTTTCATCTTTAGTATTTAAGTATTTATTGCCTCTGATTCGGTGAAATAAACCATTTTTTTTTCTTTTTTTAAACTAGTAGAAGATATATTTATATATATATATAATTTTTTTTTTACGACATTTTGCAATATTCACATAAACTTGTACATAGAGTTCTTATAATAAAAAAAAAGAAAAACTAATATAAGGAAAACTGTACAATTGCTAAATAAAATGTTTTTTTTTTTTTCCTTAAATGATTTTTTACGAATACACCTATGAGAACGAAAAAAGTACTTATAGAGAAAAATGATTTTTATGTACATTTGTTAAAGACCGGGCATTATATACGCGACGTTATCTAACATTTTTGATAGTATTTGTGGTTTTGCGCCATTAGCACCAGGAATCTGTTGTGTAAGGCAAATTAAAGGCCCAAGAGCACATAGTAATGAATCAAGTAAAACTGATAAACTACCAGAAACGGCAATTTGACCCTCATGTTCTTTTAGACGTTCGCCAATTATTGTTAAACTCTCACCGAGTAATTTTAAATGTGCAGCAACATCCACTGGTTGAGTGCCAACAATTTTATACATTCCAGTTCCAATAACTGGTTCATTCACTAAATCCTTGATACTACGATTTGAAGTTGGTGATAGAGATAAATTTCCCACCATCGATGGTACGCCCAATTGAATCATTTTTTTCGATGATGAAGGTTTTGTTTCCTTTCCACCGCCTGTGAAATAAAATACATTATATTTTTATTCATTTTTTTTTTGTATTCTAGGAGTTTTTTGAGATTTTATGATCCAATGGGGCTTTTCTTTGAATTTTGAAAAAAAAAATTTCAATTTTTTTAATACTGGGCTTAATACTTTTGTTAATAAATTTCTTGCGTGATGCTGGTGGTGGCATTTTCCACGTAGCTTCATCCTTACTTGTTGGTGAACTATTTGGTTTTGCAGCCAGTCTCTTTGCTCGTCTACGCCAATTATATTTTTCGAGATTAGGTACAGTTGCCCATAATTCTCCAAGTCTCTTTGAAATCGCAGCAAAGTCTATCGAAAATCAAAATTAATTAATAATTTATAGTATTCTTCTTTTTTAGTAAACTTACCCATATATGGACACTGCTCTAATAATTCTTGTCTAATTTCTTTTGCCCACAGCATATATGCAGTAAATCTTGTTTTCTGAAAAAAAATCCCAATTGTAAAAACAAAAAAAATTATCTAATTTGAATTAAAAAAAAAAAAACTTACGCCTTTATCCTTCCTTTGGGCTTTCATTCGGCCGATAATTTTACCATCCTTAATGATAAGTTTCTTTTTGCATTTTTCCAACATATACAAACTATTTGCCTGCGATGGCGCTTCCTGACCAGGAGGTTCCAATCTCCTAAAACCCGTCTCCTTATCATCGATCATAAGTGGATCAACATCATCATCAGTTGCCGATTCCATACTAAATCTCTCCTCATCATTCATCCCGACACCATCTTCGGAATCGGATCCCGATGAATGAGCCTCATTGTCCGATAATGGTTCACCTTTAATTCTATTTGATCCATGGGAATTTTTTCTCGCCCTAGGCGTATTTCCCTGATGTGTTGGACTTTGTTCTGATACAGTTTGATGCTGTTGTTCATATCGATCAATTAATTGTTGAACTTGTAATTGTTGGGCTTTTTGTCGTTTATATTTTTGATCCAAATCATCGGGCGACTCAAAGTCCATAAGCTTCGAGGACTTTTTTCGTACTCGTCCACTTCGTGATATTCCAGTGACTTCTAAATCTGTAAATTACAGCAGACTGCATCTTGCCAAGACAAGGAGAGGATCCAATATGCATCGCACTATATTTCTAACTACTTTCTTTCTATTCCAAAAAACAAGCTCTACAAAACTACTTTTAAATAATTATTATACTTTATACATATTGCAAAAAAGAACTAATACAAAAAAAAATAAATCATAACCTCAAAAATTGTCAAATTTTGTAAACAAATAATACAAAAATTGAAAATAATTTAAAAAACCATTGCAACAATATAAATAAATTTCAACGTGAATATAATAAATTAATAATTAATAAAAGATTAAAATTAATTAAAATATTTTAGAAAAAAATTTCACTGACATGTCAAGTATGACAAAAGTAAACAAAATGAAAATATTTTCCGTATAGGAAATTATTTTTTTCGAAAAAAAAACTGAAAAATTGAATTTAAATTTAGAAATTTGTAAAAAAAAAATATACAACAAACACGCCATGTTTGTTCGACAATTTGCCACTATGTGAAATCAGCGCTATTCCACATACAAACTTAATATGTCAATGAAAATTGATCAAATTTGATGTAAAAATAATGATATTTCATGCATATAAATAAAGCATTATTTAATAAAACATCTACATTGTGCCTGAGCTAACAAAATGCATTTTAATAATAATAAAAAAACCATTCTCACCGTCGGTTTTTTGACGTTTCGGTGACACGAACAAGTCCATTGCGCCGCTTGGCAACTTATTCTTGCGCCGCGGTGTCTTCTCGGATTTCGCGGGCTTATGAATTTCACTTTGCATGACCCCAACAATTTTATTCAATTTGCAATTATTTTATTTCACCTTCTAACTTTCATGTATATCATTGTGCAATCGGAGTAACATAAATATGAAGGGATTGTTATTTATTTACTGTGAGAGAGAGACTTAAAAACAACTGAGACTGCAAACGAAAAAATAATGCACTGCGCATGGACGCAATATAATTGAGCGGGAAATTTAAACATAATAACAAAACTTTTGTAATACTGTATAATATGAAAATTGACTTATAATTCAGTTTTTTTTTTTAAAGTAGAGAAATAATTTGTATAATCATTTTAAAAAATATTGTTCGATAATTTTTTAACACAAGTATAAAAAAAATTCACTTCACTAAATTATTCTTTTTTTCCTTAAGAAATAGATTTCTGTAATTTTAATAAAAAAATATTTTATTATTATTGTAACAAATTGTAATTTTAAAAAATAAATTAAACTTACTATTTTAAGTTTCTTTTTGATCGGATGTTTCATTCAAATTTGATGTTTCTGATTTTTTTCGTTTTTTTTTCCTCTTGACAACTACATTATAAAAATCTGCAAGTTTTGTCGGTTTTGATATTATTCTTCCTTTTCTTGATATTTTCTTCTCCTCCTCCAATTCTTCTAATGGCATCATCCCTAAGGTTGTAGATTTTCGTTTTTTAACTGATTTTATAACTGAAAAAATTTTTTTTTAAATTATAAACTTAATTTAATATATAAAAATAAATATAAATTTTTTTTAATATAATTAATACCTTCTTTTTCCTTGAATTGAATAGTTTTTTCATTAATTTGTCTTGCGCGGTTCTGATATACGTATTTTTCCTGCGATTTAAGCAATTTCCACTTTTTACCCAAAATTGTCGAAATCTCTCCAAAAGCTTTTTAATGAAAAATAGAATAAATATTAAATTGTAATTATTTTTTAATCACAAGAAGAAGAAAAAATTAGACACTTACTTAAGTCTGGATGATTGTTTAGTAAAAATCTACGCATTTCCTTACACCATAATGTATAAGCCGTATATCTTGTACCTTTGGTTTTCTGTTGTTCTTGATGAATACTTGTCGGCACCTTTATCATGTTATAAAAATGAAATTTAAATACATTATTCTAATTTAATATAAATAAAAAAAATTTAGTTTCTTTTTTAAAATTATTTTTAAACTTACATTTAATTTTTCCTGCACTACTTTTGTATTATTACAACGTACATTATTAGAAATATCTTCAATATTTTTAGGCTCTGTAAATTAAATTATAAACATTAAATTACGAAATAATATGAAATTTAATTAATTTGGATATTTACTTTGCTCCGAATGACTTTTCAATAATTCTTTTCTTCTATTGACAGACCATATGATATATCCTATGGATTTTTTATCCTATAAAATTTTTATATATTATAAATTTTTTGCCAATTAAATAACTTTTTATAAAATAAATTTTAATTAATAATATAACTTACAGTCTCAGAATCAATTTCAGGTTTAATATCATCAATTTTCAATGGATCTTCTTCAATTTCTTCTTTAATATCTGGTAATATACTTTCAAATTCAATTTCTTCTTCTTCTTTTTCATAATAAACAAATTCTTGATTACTTTCTAAATCCGGCCTCTTTTTGCCTGGTATTTTTTTATCATCACCAAAATGATAGGTTATTGATTCTTCAACTTCAGATTTAATACTTCGCCTTTTGAAATTAAATGTCGACATTCTTGTAAAATTTAATCCATAATATTAATTAAATAACGTTTAATTTAATACTAAACAATTATTTTTTTTTTCTTAATCTGAATGAAATAATTATACCTGCAAAATTGTAAACAATACACCCATTTCTCTGAAATATAAAAAATAATACATTAAAATGATAAACAAAAAATTTTTAACAATTTTGAATTGAATACCTTTTTTAAATGAATGTTATTTGCTATACATTGATGTTAAATTCTCATTGTTCTTCATTTGTTTCTAATGTAGAAAAAAGAAAAGTGTTTGACTTTTGACAGATGCAGATTATATTTTGAGGTTATGAGCAAGTTCATTTTCATTGTTAGACATTTTCTCTTATGGTAAATAACGTAAATAATTGAGTTTAAGTATTTTATAATATAAGAAACGTTCAAAATTGCATATTTTTTCTATTCTTGTTTTTTTATTCTTCAAATTTTTTACCGAAAAAAAATTTATGAATATATATTAGAGAATATTTGTTTAAATTCAAATTTAAGGCGCGAAATAAAGGCTGTAATATTGTCCACCAATGACAGTTGTTATCTTTTGGAAATATTTATTATAACATAAATATGTTAATAAATAATTAAAATTTGTATATGTATAACAAAACAAAATACAATAAACTAAAATATTTTATTTTAATTATAAAATTTTAATAATTTACTAAATTATTTTATTTCGCGGTAATTATAACCTATAATCCCTCCCAATGCCGGATAGGCCGGATATACAACGTTAGTAAGAATAAAGTCTAATAATAACAATTTCCGTTTAAAATGACAGAAAATCTAATTGTTTATAATTAAAACATGATTAAAGATTTTTTAATTTGATAATATAAGGAAAAATTACGCTATATAGTTATGATTGGTAGAAAGTGTTATTTTCAAAATTGGTTGTTTTACCGGATATGACTTCATTTATCGATTGAAATATATTCTAGAAGCTTCTAGAATGTTCTGGAAGCATCTACCACTACTAATTCATTTTGTGAGCTTTATATTACTCGTGTGTCTATTGAAATCACTACATTCAATAATTCTCTGCGAAGACTGCAGCACGTTCCGCTGTTCGCTTTTTTCAAAGGATATTCAATTTAATTACTTTAGTTTTACTTCTAAATTATATAATAAAAGGTAAGATAATTTATATTTTATTATTAAACTACATTATTTTTATTATTTATTTATTTTTTTAACTGAAAACCTTTTTTTTGCAATTTAAACCACTTTGCGCTTTTGCATCATATAATATATAATTATGGATTTTTTTATTTCATTCAAAGGCATTTTATTTTATTTTATTTTATAATTTATTAATAAATTATTTACTAACCTATTTACAAAAATTGTGATTTAATTTTTGAAAATTTTAATTTTTTCCAAGCACGTGCTCATACTCTTTTTTTTTTACAATGATTTTCAAAAAGTTTTTCAGTTTGAATAAAAGGGATTACTCAACAAAATTCTATTTATGTAGAAAAAATCTTTGTTATTCACATTATTTTTTTATTGATTAATTTATGTAATTGTAATTTTAATTTTACCTTGAGGACTCCAAAGGAATATGATGCCTCGTGACTCATCATTTGAATTTTACGTTACAATTAATGGTTTTTGAATTTTAATTTTAACGGTTATAAATAATTATTTTTAATAATTAACATTATTTAGGTAAATTTGTAATTTCGTTGTGTGTATATTAATTGATTTTTTTTAGTTTCAAATTTTAAGGCGTCTCTTTTGAGAAAGTAATATTTTATTAAATTTATTATCGATTAATTGAAAGAAAATTATAATTTTTATTTAAAATTTAGAATTTGAAAAAAATTTTTCGTTTGTGTAATATTTTTCCCCCGTCTTTGTGATAAATAAAACTTAGTTTAATATTTAAATTTCTTTTATTTCAGTTAAATTTTATTTCGTTTAATTCATTTAAATTTCTATTATGGTAAACAGTGACCTTTAATTTTTTTTATATTTATTTGTTTTGACTTTGAAAAATAAAATTTTTCGTAACCTTGAGAATTATTTTGATTTGATATTAAAAATTTATAAATTTTAAAAATTTTACTTTTTATTTCTGTTATTATATGAGAATTTTTTTTCGCAGATGCCTGAAAAAATGGAAACTGCCGCTGGAGAGGTCGAGACATTCGCCTTCCAGGCTGAAATTGCTCAACTGATGTCTCTGATCATCAACACATTCTACTCCAATAAGGAAATCTTTCTTCGTGAATTGATCTCCAATTCCAGTGATGCACTTGACAAGATTCGCTACGAGTCGCTGACTGATCCGACGAAATTGGATTCAGGCAAGGAACTCTACATTAAACTTATTCCAAACAAAAATGATCGTACCTTGACAATTATTGACACCGGTATTGGAATGACAAAATCCGATTTGGTCAACAATTTGGGAACAATTGCAAAATCTGGTACCAAAGCATTTATGGAAGCTCTGCAGGCCGGAGCTGATATTTCAATGATTGGTCAATTTGGTGTTGGTTTCTATTCTGCTTATTTGATTGCTGATAAGGTGACTGTTATTTCAAAAAGCAATGATGACGAACAATATCTTTGGGAATCCAGTGCCGGTGGTTCATTTACAGTTCGATCTGATCCTGGTGAGCCATTAGGACGTGGTACAAAAATTGTTCTTCACGTTAAGGAGGATCAAGCTGAATATCTTGAGGAGAGCAAAATTAAAGAAATTGTCAAGAAACATTCACAATTTATTGGATATCCAATTAAATTGGTTGTACAAAAGGAACGTGAGAAGGAATTGAGTGACGACGAAGCTGAAGAAGAACCCGAGGAGAAGAAGGAGGAGGAAGATGGAAAACCAAAAGTTGAAGACGTTGGCGAGGATGAAGATGAGGAGAATAAGGAAAAGGAAAAGAAGAAGAAGAAGACAATTAAAGAGAAATATGAAGAAGATGAGGAACTCAATAAGACAAAGCCAATTTGGACCCGTAGCCCAGATCAAATTACCCAAGAGGAATATGGTGAATTCTACAAATCACTCACCAACGATTGGGAAGATCATTTGGCTGTTAAACATTTCTCTGTTGAAGGTCAACTTGAATTTCGTGCTCTTCTCTTTATTCCCCGTCGTATGCCATTCGATTTATTTGAAAATAAAAAACGTAAGAATAACATCAAACTTTATGTACGTCGCGTCTTTATCATGGACAATTGTGAGGAACTCATTCCTGAATATTTGAATTTCATGAAGGGAGTTGTTGACAGTGAAGATCTTCCACTTAATATCTCACGTGAAATGCTTCAGCAGAATAAAATTCTCAAAGTTATTCGTAAAAATCTAGTCAAAAAATGTATGGAACTCTTTGAGGAAATCACTGAGGATAAGGAAAACTATAAGAAATTCTACGAGCAATTCAGCAAAAATATCAAACTTGGAATTCATGAAGACAGCTCAAATCGTTCAAAACTCGCTGAATTATTGAGATTCCATACATCGGCATCGGGTGATGAAATGTGTTCAATGAAGGAATATGTTGCACGTATGAAGGACAATCAAAAGCACATCTACTTTATTACTGGTGAAAGCAAGGATCAAGTAGCCAATAGTTCATTTGTTGAACGTGTCAAGAAACGTGGATTTGAAGTTGTCTACATGACGGAGCCAATTGATGAGTATGTTGTACAACAACTCAAGGAATTTGATGGCAAACAATTGGTGTCAGTTACCAAAGAGGGATTAGAACTTCCTGAAGATGAGGAGGAGAAGAAGAAACGCGAGGAGGATAAGGCCAAATTTGAGGAATTGTGCAAAGTTATGAAAACAATTCTTGACACTAAAGTTGAAAAAGTTGTTGTCTCAAATCGTTTAGTTGATTCACCATGTTGTATTGTCACTTCACAATATGGATGGACAGCAAATATGGAGAGGATAATGAAGGCGCAAGCTTTAAGGGATACATCAACAATGGGTTATATGGCGGCGAAAAAACATCTTGAAGTTAATCCCGATCATCCAGTGATTGAAACATTACGTCAAAAGGCCGAAGCTGATAAGAATGATAAAGCCGTTAAGGATCTTGTTGTTTTATTATTTGAAACTTCTCTTCTTTCATCTGGATTCACGTTGGATGAGCCACAAGTTCATGCAGCTCGTATTTATCGAATGATCAAACTTGGCTTGGGAATTGATGAGGAGGAACCAGTTGTCGAAGAACAAAAACCCGATGACGATGTACCACCATTGGAAGGTGAATCCGAAGATGCATCACGAATGGAGGAAGTTGATTAAGTGTAAAAACAAAATTGACATAGTATGTTCCATCTTTTTTTCTTTGAGTTTCTGTGGTGTTTAGTGAAATACTGTTTTTTTTTTTATCGAATGACTACGTTTTAAGTGGTCCTTTGGTAAATAAATTTTTTATTTTTTACGAACACGTTTCGAAAATACTTGAAAAAGATCTGCTGCCATGAACTTTGTTTATTTAAATATTGTCTTTAGCGTTTACACATGTCAACGTAATTTTGAAAGTAAGAATTTCTTTATAAAGATGTAACGCAAAATACCAAGCTTTAATAATTATAAATATTAAATAATAAGGCTGATAAGACTATAAACGAAAAGAAAAAAAAAAAAAAAAAACAAGTATAGACAGTATTCGAGAATACGTTCCAGTTACTGGTTAATTTTGGAATTTTTATGTATTCACACGAAATTTGATTTCAATTTTTAAATAAATTCCTTTTTTAATGAATTTCCAAATTTGTTTTAATTCTACGATTTTCCTCATCAAAATATTTAATTAATTTGCAATTTAAATTATTTTAAAATAATAATTAAACTTCAATTATTTGAATTGTTGATTTTTTAATTTTCTTGATTTTACGATTATAAATAAATAAAATTATAATAAATTAATTAAAATCAAAAATAAAATAAAATTATAATCAAAATTTAAATATTTTTAAAATAATTAAAGTTTCAATTTTTTTAAATAGTTAAATTTTTAATGAATTTCCAATGTTCATATTTGAAATAATTAATAAATTTTTATTTTAAATTATAATCATCAAATTTAAATAATTTTAAATTATAATTAAACATTAATTCTTTTATTATGGTAAGTTAGATTTTTAATTTATACTTTCTAAATTTTTAAATTAAATAATTTTTAGATTTTTTAAATTTATAATTGAAATATTTTCTAATCTTATTTTTAATTTGTAATTAATAATTTAATTTTTAAAAATAATTCTTTTGCGTTATAAATACTAGAAAAAAACAGTTTAATAATTTAATTAAACAAATTTTTATTATTATATTGATAAATTAATTTATTAAACATTTTTTAATTTATAAAATTTCTAACCTAAAAATAAGCAATTTAAACACTATCGTAATCTACAATAATTAATTCATACCAGTTGTTAAAATGCATTTATGAAGTAGATATATTTCTATTTTATCGCACTGATATAACTTTTTAATCACTCATTAATGCACTTTAAATTAATTTTATTCTTTTTTTTAATTGAGAGCTCATTAAAAAAAAAAAAATTTCCAAAACCTGTCAACTACATTGCGCATGTGTTAACATTGAATAAGCTCATTGGAAATTTTAAATATTCGCGCTGTTAAGTAACCAATAAACATAATTAACGCATGCGCAGTATAGCTAATCAGATTTGGAAATACGCATTTATTATTTACCAATAGGAAAATACTTGTGGTGACATCTACTCTTTAATATAGGACTAACCAGAAACTAACGCTCAAAAATTTTTTTTCTCTGTAGCAATGTCAATGTAATTTTACATTAAAAACATTAAAATTAAATCAAATTTTGAAAGTTTTTTTTAATTCTCTAATAGTATTTAAAGAAGATCTTTTAGTGCTTCAATAAAAAGTTTTGGAAATACAGGTAAATTAGTCGATTACTAAATCTTTGTTACTATCGTTACAGATTCTAACGAATTCGTTGTTATTATTGCGTTTTGAGAATTTTCAATTTTAACTATTCTCATTGTTTAATAAAAATTTTTATTAATTATGTATATTTAAAGCAAAGCATTGTTGCAACGAATATGTCAAAAGTTAAAAAATTTATTTTTCAATGCCTTTTGTTCGTGGTCACGTGATTCAGTAATGCAGTTTTAAAACAATTCGCATTCACATTTTTTAACCGTCTTAAAATCAAAATTTTTAATAATTTCTTTTTGTCGATATAATTTTACATCTTTTATTATTTGCAATATCTTATTGTTCATTTTTGTAAATTTCTTCTTAAAACTAATTTAATCTATAAATTTATCTTTTCTGTTTGATTGATGTGCTTTTTCACATAACCTTAATCTTTGACTGATAACGTTTTTAAAATTTTTTTTTTAAGTGTAATTAATATAATACAAATTTGGAGAAGAATAATATGTAGTACAATGTTTGGAAGATTAGTCAAATTACATAAATTTTCGTTAAATTGGTAAGTTTTTGCGAAATATATTTTTGATTTTTATTTGCTTTATCAGTGATTTAATCGATATGTTATCAATTACGATGTTTTTATTATTAACTTTTTGTATATGTAATAGAGTAATTATATTTACAATTATTACAAATGCAATAGATTAAATTTTTGTTAAATACATTTTTTTGGAATTTTAGTCTGTCATGTGATCATTTAAGATTACAAAATTTACGTCTAGATTCAATGAGAATGGCATCGACTTTAATGAAGACGAAATCTCAATTGAGGGAAATTTTTAACGCTGGAATAAAAGCAGTTTTACCGTATAATTTAATTAAAAGTCATGTTAAAATTGTTGATGATCGTTTGCATATTGGAAATGAAATTTTTACATTATCATCAAATGTTTATTTAATCGGTTTTGGAAAAGCAGTCATGGGAATGGCAATTGCACTTGAGGATTTGCTTGGTGATCGTTTAAAAAAGGGAATTGTTAGCATTCCAAATGGTTCGAAGGCTGATATTTGGAAGAGGGAAAATTTGCAAAATTTTCCAAAATTATCAGGAGGTATTGAATATCGTGAAGGCGCTTTACATAATCAACCGGATAATGATTGTTTAGAAACAACGCACGATATATTGGATTTAGTTGAAGGACTAAAGGAAAATGATACACTTATCGTTCTCATTTCGGGAGGAGGTAATTTTATTTTATCCTTATAGATTAACAAAAATTAAATATAAAATTATTTTTTCTTTTATTTTCAAGGATCAGCTCTACTTTTTATGCCAAGGCCTTTAATATCCGCCGAGGAGAAACAGGAATTTTGTAAAAATCTCCAAAATTCCGGTGCTAATATAATGGAATTAAATACAGTGAGAAAAAAATTATCAATGGTGAAAGGTGGTGGTTTGGCGAAAATTGCATTTCCAGCGTCAATAATAAGTCTCATAATTTCTGATATAATAACAGATCCAATTGATTTGATTGCAAGTGGTCCAACAGTTTATAAAACTAGGCCTTCAAAAGAAGTGATGGATATATTAAAGAAATATGATCTTTTAAAAGATCTCGATGGTGGTTTAAAAGCTCTTTTAAATTCAAAGGAACAAAAGGAGGATAAAAATTTACTTAACAAGAAAAAGGAATTTAAACATGTACATAATGTTATTATTGGAAATAATTTAATTGCTATGAATGCAGCCAGAGATGCGTGTTTGGGAAAAAATTTAAGTCCCATTATTTTACGTAACGATGTTCAGGGTGATGTTCATGATGTAAGTATTGCTTACACAAAAATTACATTTTTCATTTGTCTCGCATTGGAGAAATTAATTGAACGAAAGGATTTATTGGAAAATATGAAAAATGATTCTATACTTGGGATCGATGCACGAAAAGTCGATGAAATTTTTGATATAATTGAAGAAAATAATGGACAAGGAATTGTTTTAATTGGCGGTGGTGAACCAACTGTTAGAGTTAAAGGTACGGGAAAAGGAGGACGAAATCAGGAACTTGCTCTTTATTTTTCACTCGATTGGCTTCTAAAAGTAAAATCTCATTCAAATTTATCGAAATATGAAGTTATTATTTTAAGCGGTGGTACTGATGGTCAAGATGGTCCAACTGATGCTGCAGGTGCTTTTGGATATCCAGCAATTGCACCAATTATTCATCATTTACGGGAGAATGTAAGAAAACTTGTAAAAATGAAAAATCTTCCACGTGACAATTTTAATATACCCCATGTGGATTTTAACGTGGAAAAAATACCTAGAAATTTAGATGAAATTGCCAAAGAAATTGACACACTTCTTCCGGAGAATGTTCTCAAGGAAAATGATTCTTATAATTTTTATTCACGTTTCAAAAAGGGTGAGGATTTAATTAAAACAGGACTCACTGGTACAAACGTTATGGATCTTCATTTTATTTATATAAGAAAACGTCAGTGTGATTGTTGTTTAGATTTCACGAATGAGAGTAAATCTTATAATCCATTTGATGAACATGATTTACATAGTAATTTGGAAGCTCCGGAAATTGTGAAAGAAAAATTGTCAATTGTTAAGGAACTCGAATTGATAAATATTAAAATTGTTGATGATAATTTTGAATCGATATGTTGCACAAGTAAAAAGAATAAATGAAGAAAAATTATGGTCAAAATTAAATTCTCCGAATGGCAAAAATTTTTCATGGATAAAATATATTTTATGTAAGTAAAATTTTTTTAAATGATTTTTATTTGCTTATACTTTACAATTATTTACTAGTTTTGTACATTATTAAATGCATATTGTTACACATTTTATGCATATACGATTTTTTTTTGTTTGTTTTAAAAACAATCGTACTTTATAAATTCATTAAAACAAAATTAGAATTAATAATTATTTAGTTTTAATAAAAATTTGAAACTAATTTAATATAGAAATTAATACAATTTTTTCTAATTGTAAACTTTTTTTGGTTTAAAATATTTTTTTCTGAAAAGAATTGAGAAGGACGGACATGGACGTGAATGAAAAGTTACAGTCATTTCTCCGATGATTTTTTAAGGGAAAGAATTATTGGTGCTATTTTAACTTTCTGTTCTCTTAGAAAATTTTAAATTCACAATTAGATAAAATTAGTATAATTATTAAATTATTTTTTTCAGTCCATTAATTTAAATTCTGTTAAAAATTTGGAAATTATTTCAAATAACAATACAATTATTTTTATTTGCTTTACAGAGATTTATAAAAATTATAAATAATGCAAATATTAAAATTAATATATTATTAGTTAATTATTAATGATAAATAAGTTTTTTCACGAAAAAAACGATTACTTAGTAAATATATTTTTATTATACATAATTTGTCATGATACGTTCTCTATCAATAAATAATTATTTTATAGTTTTATATATTTTTTTAAATTTAATTCTCTTCAATTTCTTTTTTTCTCATTCTTTTTTTAATCATTAATATTATAATTAAATTTAATAAAATAATAAATTAAAAATTAAATTGAAATACATAAAATAAAAATAATTGTATACGTTATTTTATTTCTTTGTATTTGTATATTAAAAATGTTTAATTATTCTATTTAAAAAAAAGGGAATAATATTTTTACATTTAAACATTTGTAAAAATTCAGTGAAATATTTAAAAATTTTCTAATTTTTTATAAAATATTTTAGTCAATTGCTTTTTGTAAACTTTGGCGTTAAGAAGTTCTTTGAATAGTAGTTATTTAAAATATTCAAAAAAATATTATTTTTATAAATCCCAACTAAAGAGATGATGTTTCACAAGCATGTCACGAACTCCGTCTTTCAATGGTTGAGATTGTTCCTTCTTTGGTGGCAATTCCCAATCAGGATTCAAATTAAAAGCAAATTGACTGAGTATTCTTAATTCACATTTTACTTGAACCCAACCGGGACTATTGACAAAACTCCAAGGTTGATACCTGAAATAAAATTATTCGTATTTTATAGAATAATTTTAAAATTCTAAAAAAATTTATTTAAATTGTAAATTTTATTATTTTTTTCAGATATTCATTACCATTTTTGTACAATTTCAACGCAGGAGCACAAAACTTCGAGCCAAAGATGAAGAACTTGTTCATTGAGACCGAGACAAATGAGAGAACGTAATTTAACATCCATTTGAGCGTGTGCATTGTCATGACTCAAATTAATTGATTGTACACAACGATAAAGCAGCTGAAATGTTGACAAGGTAATCTTTAATTTTTCAATTTCAATTCTCTTTTCTTTATGTAAAAAGATATTTTAAATTTAAATTTTTGTTTGAAAAAAAATACCTCTTCCGGTGTGAGAACTTTTCCATCTTCATCGAGTCGATAAGTTTTACATAAAACCAATCGACTATAAACAGAATCAAAATCTTTTTCAACTTCTCGCGTTGATGCTTCCTCAATAAAAAGCCATGGATGACAAGGTCCACCTAAAAAACTTGGTTTTCGCATTCCTTGTTCTAAAACTGCTTTTATTGCCGGACACAAAGTTCCTCTCACTAAATCCGTAACTGCTTCACTCACTGTATCATCACCTGCGCATGTATATTGTTTACTGCGCTCATCCAATAATTCCACAAATTTTGCCGGAAACCAACCTAAATGAAAAGTTTTTATTTATTAAAATATTTGAATTTCTTTTTTTTCCGAAATATTATACCTCGAAGTCCATTTAATTCTCCCACCCAACAATGCTCGTCTTTTTGACTAATTATCGTGATTATGTCATTTTTTCGAAAACCTAATTCATCATCATCATGTCGTTCGAAATCTAAAAAAAAAAAATTTATTTAAAACTATTACCTTTTTTTTTTGAAAAATTATCCAAATACTCACCCAATAAAGCTTTTGCTCTTCTTTTTCGAATTCGGGAAACATTCACATAATTATCGTGATCTTTAGCGTGACTCTCCATCGTATAATCAGCGACTAATGATAAATTACTTAATTTTGGATCAAGATTCATAAAATGTCGCGCTACTTGTAAAATCGCTTCTCTTAGATCCACTAAAAGTTCTGCATTGTAAAGCAATTTTTTTTTTATTAAAATTTTTTTAAATTAATATTTTAAATCAAAATTTACAATATAAAATTTTAAATCAAAATTCCTACCAGTTTGACGGATATTTTTACATTTAACATCGTCCTCTGAATCGTCATTGCCAAATAAAATTGTTTGAATGACAGATTTACTTCTTTTCATTTGACGACGATTTAAATGTTGTTTTGGTAAATTTGGCGTTGCATCTGGATTTCCCACCAATCCACCTTGATCGACCATTAAATATGCCAAATGACGTCTTCGATGTGTGTCAACTAAAACATCAGTCAACGATCCACTGACTTCCATAGATACCTAAATAATATTTTAAATATTTTTTTTTATAATTAATTTTAAATTAATTAAAAAGAAATTTGAAAAATTACCCTAAATAATTGATCAACATCGTCAATGTCACCAGGAATATCCGATAAGGCATTGAAAATTTGTGCTGAATTTTCCACTTGCTTCAATTCACCCTCTGAAAAAGATTGTTTTTTTTTCAAATTTACAAAAAAAAATTTTTTTTGCAATAATTTGAATAATTTTTTATACCTTTAATTTTCAGCATTCCAAGTGTGACTTGAAAAAGAACAATGGATCCATCGAAAAGAAAAAGATCCCAAATTCTAAGAAGAATTTTCATATGTACAACTGAGGCGAATAAAGTGAGAAACCAATTCAACGATATGAGACTTAATTCAATGTCATGTTGAACAAGAACATGATCAATATCCGGTAAGTAATTTGACACTAATGTTCGAAGTACTCTTTGGTCTGCTTGTAATCCTATTTAAAAAAAAATTTATTAGCGAAAAAATAACATGGGATAGAAAAAAAAGAAAAATAACCTAATAACGTTGAGGAATAATAAGAAGCTGGTAATAAATCTTCGACTATTGTTGCCATCATCCAAAATGCATCTTCCTCCTCAAGTAATAATAATAATGACGCTGCTATTGTTCCAGTTCCTTGACAATATCTATTAAAGAAAAAATTTTATTTTTGTTTTCAAAAGAAAAAATACTAAAATAAATTACCCAATTTCTGGATAAAGCCAGGCAAGACCTCGCATTAATCTTCTTAATCTTGGTATTCCAGTGCTGTGTAAATGACTGAAACACGCATTTGCTGGCATTGTACGAAGTAAATCTTTTTCTATTTGTTTACTTGTCATTAAAGCATCATTACTCGAGGCTTTTACAATATCTCGATAGGTAGTTTCTGATGAAATCTTTTTTTGCAAAGCCCCTGGAAAAAAGAGAACATAATTTTATTTAACAATAATTAGAAATATAAAAAAATTTTTTTACCTGACATTCGCATCCAAATTTGTGGTCGAAGTGAATGTGGAATTCCTTGATGGACCATTTCACGTAATTTATCACTTCTCGGTAGTCTTCTGTCAACATGTTGCCATGATAATTCCGACACTTCTTTATTGTGACTGAATTCTAAAAGTGTCACCCACTGCAATCTAAGTAATAAAAAAATTAATCATTTAAGAAAATTAAAATACATTTTTCTTTTTATTGATAAAAAGAATTATTTTTAGAGAACCTATGCTGAGGATCTTCAACGAAAGGGACACCTAATAATTTTTTTGAACTTTGCTCTGGTCCATCTTCCTCGTCCACGCGAAATCCAAATTCGTCAAATCTGTGGTAAAAGTTATTTTTTTTTAATTTATTTCGCTCGCAAAATTATTATATTTGCAAATTTGTGTTTACAAAAATTTTTTTTACATTTATATTTTATTATCGATTTAATAATAATTGTAAATTTATATTAGAAAAAAAAGTACCTGTACTCTGGTTGAGAATTTGGATCGTCAGGTTGATTTAATTTTGCTAAAATATCCTGAGGCCACATTGACGGTGTTAGAGCAGAGAAAGGACCTCCTGGTGCAGGTGATAAGACTTCTCCCGATAATCCTGCTCCTTCCAATTCATATTCATCATCTGAGACAGCAGTTTCCACTTTTTTCTATAGAGGTAAGAATTTAATTATTTATAAATTAAATATTAATACAAAAATATAATTAATAGTAAAACAAAAAAAAATAACAACTACTAAAATACCTAAAAATAATTATAAGTAAAATAACAAAAATATCAAAACAAAGTTTAAAAAAAAGATTTTTACCATTTGTATTGTTTACTAGACTTTTTTTAAAATTAAAATTATCTGAAGCTAAACAAAAATAAATAGTAAAAATCATACTTTATGATCGTCTCTGCCAACATAACCTTCATGGTTTCTAACTTGTAAAAGAGACTTGGCAATTTCCATTTTTCAATTCGCGTTTAGAAAAAATCTATCTTCTTTTTAATTTTACGTCAATTTTTTTTTCTAATTTCTCTCGTTCCACATGTTATTCGTTTATATTGATTGTTTACTGTCAGGATATTCTGTTTTCTTTTTTTTTTTTTTTGACAAAGATACGAATAAACTTTACACACGCACAACTGTCAGATCACTGATAATTTTTTAAATCGTATTAATATACACAATCGTAATATATAATAAAATACTATAGCAGATGCTCCAGATGGGATATTTAAACATAATACAGCATAATAAGAGTGACGTATGTAGACGTGTAACTAAATCCTCCGTACTTGTGTTTGTATGTACACACATACAGTGCCTCTATACATTGACGTTAGTATACAAAAATTAAATACTTTTAAAAAAAAAGTCGGTTACTTTTTCTCGTTTTTTGGGATAAAAAAATCTCAGCTCCTAATGTGTCAGTAATTTGAGAATAAATTTTATTTTTATTCTTTTTCAATTTACTTTTATTTGGAACAAATTTTTTTTTTTTGTAATCGACCTTACTATTCAGGAACGTATCTATTTTTACAATAACCTGGTTTTCACTAAACATACACAGAATTTTTACGATTTTTACAAAAGAAATTAAATTTTATTTATATTTTTCAAAAGGAAAAAATATTAAATATATCAATAAAAATATTTTAATTAACAGTGTAAATTATATTATAATAACATAGATATTCTAAAATTATAATTACATAATTATCAAAGAAAAATAATAAATAACGTAATAAAAAATCAGAAATCTAAAAATGTATTTTGATAATAAAATAATAACATTATAGTAAAAAATTTATTTGTTAATTTTTTTTTTATCAATAAAAAAAGGGAAGGGTTCAATGTCACTTTGTTACATAACTGATCATTTTAAAAACCGGTCTAATTTTCGTGAATGTTCCTGGATATTATATAAGATATTTGATATTTTCCATTGTTTGAATCAATTTTTTTTTTTTTTTTTTTTTAGTGAAAATTATCGAGATTTCTGCTAAATTCGGAGTGTATAATTGAAAAAATGACGAAATGATGAAACATGTGGAAGGGATTGACAAACTTGTTTAAACTTGCTCAGTTCGCTTGATTCGTTTCAAGAGAGAAATAGAGAGAGAGAGACCGACTGTTTGCCGGTAGAACGTAACTAAAAAATTCACGTCCTGCCTCTTCAAATAGTTTGAATTTAACGCATCTGATGCAACATCCGCGAATTAAATCAATAGAGACACAATTTTTCTTAAATTCATCGGTCAGCGACGAAGAATTCAGGTAATTTATGATTAATAAATTTAACATAAAATTTGTTGCTGACACGTGGTCGATATAAAAGGCAGTTCCCACGACTCACTTTTGTTTCATGTCGTGTTCAATTTAAACAAATTTGCATTTCATTTTGTGCACTTTATTTAAAAAAAAAAAAAAATTCAAATAGTCTAAATGGGTAACATATTTAATTATTTAACGAAGATATTAACAATTTTTTTTAAATAATTAAAATATAAATTAAATAATTTATAATTAAATTTCTAACAAAATTTTATTTTAATACAATAGAATTAATATTTAATAAAATGTTACAATATTGAAAATATTATTCAGGTAAATGTAAATAATAATTTTTTCTAAAACTATGTGCAAATTTTTTTTCAGGAAAAGTCAAAGATTTAATAGTAAGATAAAATTGATAATATATTTTTAGACATTTTCCTGAATGATGAAATGTTTTGAAATGTTTATCAAAACGTAATTGTTGAAAACCGTTAAATCAATTTTCTCATAAATAATTGATGTATTTTTTCTACAAATTATTTTTAATTTGAATTTTCATTAATGATCATTATGTTTTTAAAATTATCTAAATAATAAAACACCGGTTTTCAAATTATGCCCAGGAACGTATACTTATTTAATTTTATATTTTTTATAAATCGAAAAAAAACTGTTAATATTATTTAAATATTTTACTCATATTGATAGATAATTTTTAATTAATTATAAAATATTTTTTGTAATTATAATTTAAATTTGTTTAAATTGAACATTTTACAATTAAATATAGGGAATAATTTTTCTAAGTTGTAAACCCTGTAAAATGCGTCCCTGTAATTTAAACATGTGAATTTGGTAACGTGGTTGAAAGTAAAGGCGCGGGAAATAATTTTTTGGCGTCTCGCATTTTGATTGGTGGAGATTTATAAATGAACAATGGAGGTTATGTTGGCACCATGTGAATTGGACTTAGGAGAATTTTGCGATTGGTTAGCGTGTCTGCGAAGGCCACAGTCAGTAGTACCGCTTCGCCAGAAGCGAAGTTGGTCGAATTTCCTATATATTAATAAATGTTAATGTGTACATGTTAATTCGTGCGAGTTGTGCCGTTATTAAAAAAGACGGTATTGGCACTAAACAAATTCAATACTCGTTGGTAACCATCAAATTACAATTGTAAAACTCTCTCCATATTAATGAAACCGACGCTTTGCTCTTTCTTGATACTGCGACAGTACATATCGAGCATTGGGTGTGACGGATTTATCTCGTGCTGTGAATTGCGTAGTGCTTTTAGTGTCTTGAACAACAGCGGCATTTGTTCAAGCTGTTCGCATTTCCTCTAAACGAGTGAATTATTTAAATTATTATTGAAATCGTGTATGGTGCCTCTTTGCAAAAATAAGAAAAAAAGGATCGTATAGTTTTTTGCTCCGCCATTGTACGCTGCCGCAACATCGCGAAGGGAGCCGCTCGCCTCGTTCTTCCGTACGTTTCCTCTCACTCACTCACATTCTCTTTCTCTTTGTCTCTGTCTCTCTTTCACTTCTTTGAAATGTTGGTTTAACTCTCTTACACGCACGCTTTTGCTGTATGTTTGTGTGTGTGTGTGTTGTACCCGCCTCACATTCGACCGCTCGCCTGATTATCGTTCCCTCCTCTCTTTCCCCGTCGCGCTCGGTTTTTCCTTTGCCAAGAAACCAAAGGAACTTCTGCAATATTCCCAAACCGCGTACGTGGACGCCCGGTAATTTTACCGCCGGGGAAACGATTCTTGCGCGTCATTATGCAATAGACTTTGTGACCCACAGGAAGACAAGACAAGACCAGCAGATACCCAGCTTTCCTGGGGTGAAAAAAAATCAACATTTTTTCTGGTATGCATTTTTTCCCTGCATTTTTTTTTTTTTTTTTTTTTTGGTGTCAATTGCTATAAAGACGAGTCGACTTTGTTCCCGGGAACTTCCTCTGCTGCAGGTTCCCGAGATTGTTCGATCACGTGGGGATGCGTCATACGAGTACCTGCGATAGATAACCCTGTTGTATTAACAACGCCTCTTAACTTTTTGTTAAATGGTAGTGATTATGCGATTTTTCCTTTGTTTTTCTTTGTATATAGCCCTAACGTTATTAACGGAAGACCTTTTCAATTCACGCCCTTAAGGTTCTAGTTCCCTCTCTCTTACTCTTGCTCCTCCTCCTCCCTTGAAAACGCCACCCGTCGAATTCACTGTCTTACTCTTTCAAGTGTTCTCTCTTTTATTTATCTCCGTCTCTTTTTAATTTTCTCTCTCTCTTTCTTGCTGCAACTATCTTTTTTCTTCTCTTTCACTTTCTATTTCTTTCTCTTTCCGTCTTTTTTTTTTTTCATTACCGGCCGCCGCTAAATGTTTCTAGCCTTTTTATTTTTAAGAAATTAATTTTTAATAATAATTTTTTTTTCTTTCTCTACAGAATATTCTGCTCCGAAATAAATTCGCAACGGTTTTTAATGTAAAGCGGTGTGTGTCCCCAAACTGAATAACGACGGTTAAGGTGAGTAATCTCTTTAAAAAAAAATTCCGGTTTACTTTTAAGAGTCAAAAAGAAAGAAAATACCGGTTTTTTCGTTTATTAAAAAGATTTTTAGTCTTTGGAAAGTTTTTTTTTCTTTTGTTTCCTATGATTTTGTGTAATTCTAGTTTTCTTTGAAAGTGGTGGTGTGCCGAGTGTGCAGAAATCGATTGAAAGCAGCGTTTGTGAATAGTGTTGATTCTGGAAAATTTACTCTCAAAAAAAAAAAATTGCTGTTTAAATAATTAATTGCGGGAGAAAAAAAAGGCAAAATAAAGTGGATTTTAATTTAAAAAAAGGAAAGAAAAAAAATTTAATATGTAAATGATATAGGGAAACATTTAAAAATTACGTCATAATTTTTTTCTAGACAATTTATATAATAATTTAATATTTATGAAATTTTAAAAATTTATAAAAAATAGTGAAACAATTTCGTTAATTTTCTTGTCTATAACGTTTTAAGAAGATTATTTACGTTTATATATACTTGAATAATTATCATGTATGTTATTCTATTCCCGCACGAGATTTCTCCGTATTTACGACCTAAATAAATAAATATATACACAATGGCGCAAAATATAAAAAGATTGTTACGAGTTTAACGATGACGTTTCCTTTTTTTTTAAATTAAAATTGAAAATCTATATTTATTTACGAAAACGAACCCTTTCGTCTTTGCTTAAAAAGAAAAATGAAATTAATTTTGTTAATAAAATTTTTTTTTAATGTAAATTCTTTTAAAATTTGTAAATAAAATTTTATGCAAAAAAAATTGATTGGTACCTTTTTTTTTAGGATCAAAGGAAAATGATGCTGCTGTCCACCTTTGCAACGTGATGCACGCCACCAATTGGATAAAAAAATTCTGGATTGAATTTTTTGAATATGAAAACAATTTATTGAGAATAATCGATGGAAAAGTGGCATCCAAAAAAGTAATGGATGAATGGGATTGAGTCGATTTAAGGGAAGTTTGTGGTGTGGGTGCAGTGGGCACAGGTGGGAGCCTCTGGATGTCGAGGCGGCAGCAGAATTTGCAACGTCAGTGGCAGTGATGGCCCCTGCTCTGACGGAAGGCGGTCCTCAAAAGCCTGAAAATTTACTTCCCACATTGCCAGTTGGATTTCTATCACCAAAACAGGCCTCGGATATTTGTAATAATCGTGAGGTACTAGCAAAATTTGTTGTCTCAGCTAATGTGAAACCAACAAAAATTGATGACCAGTTTCTTCTTGGTATATCCAAGGATTTGATTCGTGATGTCATCAATTCCAAATATGCGCACAGTTTTGATAATTTATCTGGATTTGATAATGAATCTAATAACTTAATTTCTGAGAAGAATTTGAATTTTGAATTAAAAGACGTTGATAAACGACGTAAACAACAACGATCATTGATCGTAAAGAATAGTGAGACAGATATTATAATGAACGACCCATCTATGGGTGATCAAACGGATAATATGTGTTTTTTGAAATCAAATGTGGACGTGCCTTTAACGGACTCTGCTGTTGATGATTGTGATGATAATAAAGCGCTCGATGAGGTTGATGAAATCATGGGTTTTGCCGATAAAATACAAGTCGATCCAAATGTATCGAATGTCGGTGATATTGGACAAAATGTTGAAGAAATATTACAAGTGATTAAATCAATGGAGGGAGCTGATAATGTTGGTGTTGTTAATAGTGAATTATCAGCACATCAAAGTACAAATGATGGTGTTGTTGAAATGTTTCCCGGTTCAGAGATATTTCCATCGTTTGAACAAAATTTACTTGATGAAGATTTTGTTGGTTTATGTACTGATTATGTTAATCCAACAGAGGATATTGAACAAGTGAAAGTTGAAAATTTAAAACCACATGAAGATTTAGTTGTACAAAATCAATATGAAAATGAAAGGCGATGTGCATTTTTAATGAGACGACTACGTAAATTACAAGCTCGACTTGTTGGTAGGCATGTGGCTGAGGAGAATACAGGTGTACTTGAACTCGCTCATAATGGTGTTAAACAATATTTTTTTCAAGAATTATCGGGTATTAGTTCGAAAACCGCTGCAAAAAGTAGTCCGGAAGTGAATAGTAGTTTGAGTAATTTTTTGGAAAATATTGAAAAAACATGTGTGGCTCAAAGTAGCAGTGTTAGTAGACAACGTGTGTGTTGCCGGTATTTTGGTGCCGGTTCAAGGGATAATACAAATACTGGAACTGGTAGTACAAGTCGACATCCTGCCTTTGCTGCATCGCAAATTAATATTAAAGGCGAAGAAGTTGAAAGTGTTGCTGGACCATTGGTATCACATTTACATTTATTGGAATCAAATTTAGATTCAGATTGTACTGCCTCAAGTAGTGGGGGTGAAAGTTGTGATGAGATGCAGACATTTAATAATCTACACCAACAACAATTGTCCATGTGAGTGTTTTTAATTATTGCTAAATTCATCATTAGTGATCATTTTCAACAGGGAAGATAGATTTTTAAATATCCTTCAACGAAAACACGTTTTTACACTTTTAAAATCAAATCTAATTTATCATTATAAAACCATTTTAATTCTAATTCTAATTCAGTTTGATTTGGATTTATTTTAATTAAAAATTTGAAAAATCAAAATTATTAATTATTTTAATTAACAAATTAAAATTAAATGGTTTCGTACCTGATATGAAAAGTTGCAAAAACAGTTTATTTTTTTAAATACCAATTTTTAATTTGGGATTTGTTTTCAAAAATACATGGAAGATATATTTAGACCTGTTGTGAGTATTTTTTACATTTTTTTTTTTTAAATAATAGAGATAGTAATTTGGAAAAAATATCTTCTGATTTCTATACGCTAATTTATATTTACAAATGAGTCAATTTTCAATAAATTGAAAAGTATGATCTGATAATAGGACCCGTTTTTATCAATCCAATCAATGTAGATTTAAATATTGTGACAAGTCTTTTTAAATCGAATATAATTAACTTGGCTCGGTTTAAAGACTTGTAATTAACAATTGATTAGAGAGTTGATAAGGATTCTTAGATATATATAGAGAAAATATTGATGGTATTTTAATTTGATTAACTGGACCAGAAAAGTTAGCGGTTGATCAAAATGAAAAAAAGAGAGAATAATTTGAACAAAATTATCTGCGAAATTATAAAGTTATATAAGTTTAATTAATGATTATTGCAAACAATTCAATTTTATTCTTCTTGCAAATTTTAAATAACTGAAATTGTTAGAACATTTTTGTTTTTTTCTCTTTAAAAAATAAAACAAAAGAATCATTAAATGTAACATGCATATTAAATATGACATAAAATTTTAACTATCCAATAAATTTTACTCTAATAATTATCATTTCATGACGCTAATTTCCTCAAAGTTATCAAAGCATGAAAACGAATTTCTTCATAGATGACGAATACTTTTTTTTTGAACAATGATGATTATAAAAAAAAAATTCATTTTTGTAAAGTAAATTTAATTTTTTTTCCCACAATGATAATAATTTTAATATTTTTACTTTTATTAAAAAATAATTGACGTGAATAAAATAATCTACTTATGTGTATTTTTTTTTGTTTTAATAGAAATTTTGATTAGTTCTATGTCCAAATAAAGAATAAATTTTTTTTTATCAAATATTATCAATGTTTACATTGATTAAGCCATCGACAAAAAATAGCTGGTTCTGTAATTTCAAATGTATCGAATTCACATTTACTTTATTTTAGTTATAAACATGAATAATCGATTTTTGAAACGTAAAATATTTTTAATATTAACTTCTGTCAAAAATAATTTTTTAATTTTTGTTTAACTGCAATAAAATTAATTTCACTAAATTTTTAATTAATTAGGAACATAAAAATAATAATTAATATTTAAATTTGAATTAAATTAAAGTTCGAATTAAAATTAATTTTCGGTATTTAAATTAAAAAATTATGAAACAATATCTGTGAGATTGCCTCCCTCCCCTGATGTGTACCATAATAGTCACGGTTATTTAAATGCCCTGTTAAAAACTCCGTTAAAAGAATATTGGAATATCGATCGAGAGTTTTGCTTGCAGATCAAAACGGGCAGCTTGGCGATTTGCTCAAGACCGTGCAAGTATTGCATCACGATGGACCTGGTTACAAGCGCAAATATCGGATCTGGAATATAGAATTCGTCAGCACAATGATCTGCAACGTCATATCAGGGCGACGAAGGGCTTGGTTATACTTGATAATGCCGAAACTGTTAATGGTTACAGTGGTGTATTGCCAGGATCCACAGGACGTTACAATAATCCTGATGGTGGAAATAGTGTTGGTGGTGTTGGTACAACTGGTGAATCATCGTCAAGTCGTACCAGGCCGTTTGTCTGGTCAATTTATAAAAAACGAAAATTACTTCAAGTCGATAGGCTACATGAAGTATCAAAACGTGCAGCAAAAGCATCCACAATACGTTGTGGTTGCGATCATGTACTGCCCTCGTGTGCACTTTGCACCGGGAGACTCGATCCAACACAACCCCAAGAGCCACTTGAACAACTTTCTGTCCAAGAGCGTGTCGCACTCGTCGATCCTGGCTTCCATCCGGTCTTATCCTTCCCGGATGGTAAATATCTCTTTCACAAATTGTATCTTCTTTATTTTTTTTTGTCTCGCGAAACTTAAAATTTTCCTTAACGCGTTTTTAAAGGATTTTTAATCTTCTATAAAAAATTGTTTTGCTATTCGAAAATTAAAAATGAATAGGAATTTTCGAGGAAAATGCACTTTCATAAAAGGTCATGTGTTTATAATCATAATTTTTTTTTTCTAAATGAAAACTGTATCTTAATATAATTGGCAAATTTTTTTAATATTAATATAGGAATTTATTGGGAAAAATAATTGAATTTTTATTTTTCGACAGATACTTTGCAAGGAACTCATTTGGAAGCAATAATGAAGTCAGTTGATTGGCAGCAAAAAATGTTACGGGGTAATGTTCGAATGTCAAAAATCAAGGATAAGGATGCAAGCGAAAAGAGAAGTAAAAAAATTGTTGAGCACAGAACAAAATATACATCACGATTGAAGAAATCAACTTCCAGTATTGTCACATCAAGTGTGTATTATTTTTAGATAAAACTTTTTTGTTTTTTTTCTTTTAACGAAATTATTTTTATATAAAAGGGAAATTAAATCCGAATAGTTAATAAAATTATTTTTATTTTTTTATAGGAATTAAGAGAAAAGTACTAAAAGGAAAGAGAAGTAGACTTAATCGTGAGAGAAATGTACATGGTCTTAAAAAACGTGTTCCAAAATTGACGCAAGTTGATGATGACGAGGAAATGAGCGCACTATCGAGCTCGAGTAAACATTCATCACCAGTGCCTTCTCCATTACAACACATTGCAGCTTCCTCTGAGAAAAATTCTTCAATTAAAGAAAAAACATCCAGCTCGCATGGGTAAATTTTCCAATTGTTTTAATTAAAATCTCTTTAATATTATTGTAAAAATTTAATTGAATTAATAATCATCAAAATTATAAAAGTATTCAGAATTTTTTGTATATTTTTTTTTTTTTTGTTAATTTTCTCTCTAAAATTGAGTAGAAAAATTTACGATTTTGAATATTTTTGTTTTTCAATTAAATTTTTAAATATCAATTGATTTTATTTTATGGATTATTTATTTAATAATGGTAAATTTTCAATTGTAGATTTAAAATAATAATTTTTAAATAATTATTGAATATTTATTAAAATAGAAAAATAATTTGATAGATTGTAATTACGAGACTTTTTTTCTTGATATAATTTCAGACGATTAAGACAAAATTCCTACGACATTGACAATATTGTCATACCCTACAGTGTCGCTGCCTCTACAAGACTGGAAAAATTACAGTACAAGGAAATTTTAACACCAAAGTAAGTTTTATAATAAAACCTAGTGTATTTTTTTAAATTATTTATTTGAAATAAATTACAAATTTACTACACTTAGATTAAAATTCTAAATAATAAATTCTTTTTTTTTTTTAAACTAAAGAGATTATTTTAATTTTAAGATGGAGGCTGTGCGACGAACCCATAAAAATCGATGTCAAAAATGGTGTCATGCATAGGCCTAGTCAAGATAGCGATGTAAGTAAAATTCTAATTGAATTTTAATTTGTACCAATATAGTCAGCGATTGAAATGTAATATTTATTTTAAAAATTTTTTTTTCCATTTAGTTTGAAGATGTTTCGGACGAAGCAATTGTATTGAGACACGGACGAAGCGAAAAGGAAGAATACAAGCGTTTTATGACATTTGCAAATCCCCCGTATCAATCGCGAATTCGACATAATCGACGAACAGACAGCAGAGCAGACAGTGGCGCAAATACACCAGGTATTTTTTATAATTTTTCCATACAAAAAAAAACAAAAAAGATTGTTTCTTTTTAATAATCAAATTTCTCTTTGAAAATTTTAATTTACTTGGAAGATCTTTTTTTAAAATTTGATTATCTTTTTAAATAATTGTTTTTAAACATTTAATTTTTGAGTGTGATAATCTTGTAAATAAATTTATAAAAATGATTTTCAGATCCAATGTCACCTCATGCGAGTGATTTTGGTGGAGATACGACATCACCAATTACATCACCTCCCGCGACACCGTCAAATAGTCACGATGCGGAACATCAGGTTGATGTAAATCGTCCTCCAGCTTTGCAACATGTTTTGCGACGTCGAACAATCTCGTCATTGAGATTTACAAGAGAAGATCGAGAGAAGGATAAAGAGAAGGAAACTTCGACGTCGTTACCTGATGAAGAAAGAGAAAAAGAGGTAACTTGTATTTCAAAATTCACTTTAGTTCTCTAATAATTATTATTACAATAAATTTTTAATTCAAATTCTTTTAATTTAGGTTCCACCATATGAACCGAGAATTTTTCCACTACCTGAAGATGTTTATGATAAAATGTTGGAAGTAATGCCCGAAGGCCACTGGCAAGCTTCCTCGGCGTCTGTATGCTCCCGAGAGGAAGACAAAATCGATAATGTAAGTGAAAAGTTTTGATAAAAAGAAAATTTAAAAGATTTTGCACTTTACAATGCTTTTTTTTTATACAGTTAATGGATTTGGATTCACCGGAATCGGATTCAACAGAATCGGCATATTGCGAAATAGAGGGAGAAGATCCAAATGATCCCGAATGGACAGTTGCGGACGATCGAAATACCGAAAAGGAAAGAATACGTCCGACTGCTAAAAGATAGGAAAAAATTATTTTCAATTGCAGATTATTATTCGTCATTTATTATATTGAAAAATGAAAAAAAAAATGCGAATGTCAACCTGTCAATTGTTGAAATATTTACTTGTCGGTCAAATGACATGCAACCTAATTTTTTTTCTCTTTTTTTTGTTAAAAAAAGAAGGTTGCGAATCTGTAAAGTGTATTATATTATTATATTATAAATTTTATATCTTCATTATGCTTCTTATATTAATGGAAAAAACCTCGTTTGCGTGTGTGACTACTCTGGCCAAAGCATACAAAAAGCTAGATTTAAAAAAGCGGTACACTTTTACTTACCATTTTTACAGAAAAAAGAAAACACTTCGCTTCTCTGATCGTTTCAAGTAATTTGTAAAAGAAAAAGAAAAAAAAACACAATAATCAATTGTTTGAGCGCTAGAATCTCACAATTTTTTTTTTTTTTTTTTTTTTTTTTACCAAAAATAAACTGTATTTATATTTTTAAAAAAAATTCACTAAAAATAAAAGTGCCAATTGAAATTTTGTTACTTTTTTTTTTTTTTCTTCTTTTGTGTATTTCTTTAAACTGTAACGCCATTGGCGTTGGTAAGTGATTATTTTTTTTAGAATCTAGTTTTTTTTAAGGATGAATTTTAAAGATCCTTTTTTCGCATTTCATTGCGCTTCATCACATGTATGTACGTAAAATAATATAAGTGTAAACCGAATGTATCATGTAATAAGTTATTCATGATCTGCAGATCCTCTTGTTTTTATTCATTTTTTTTTTTTTAACAAGGTGTCGATGTATAAAATTTTTATGTATTATACGTGATACGCCATTACGTACTAGGAGTTTTTTTTCAAAAAAAACTGTCCTCTTTCTCGTTAATGATTTCTTTGTATAAAAAATTGTATTTTTACTAAAAAAAAAAAAAAAAATTTCAAAAAATGAGAAACAATTTATCTTGACAGTATTAACAGAAAGTGATTTAAAGAAAAAAAAAAATTGTTACGTATAACAAGAAAAAAAATTTTCACAACAGAAATACGAAACAAAATAATTTTGTGTGCGACAGTGTCTGAGTCTGAAAGTGAGAAAATGATTTTTAAAAAAATTATAATTTCTAAAAAATTAAAAAAAAAATTTGCCGCGTATTTGTGCGAGTGTTGTAGAAAAAAAGAAATCATTTTGCACCAATTAAACTATAGCTTTACGATGTTAACGTTTTGCAAACACTATTTACGATCAAGAGGACGAAATTATTCAAATTAAGTGTGAGAGTCGAGTCTAGACATTAATATTATTATTATTATTATTATTATCGTGCTGTTGACACGAATTAAGTTCATCGGTTTCATCAGATTACATCCAATAGTACACTGTAAGGCGAAGCACATAAATTGAGATTTTACCAAAGTTGTAAAAAAACAAAAAAACAAAAAAACAAAAAAAAAAAAAAGAAAACTCGCTTGGGTACTTCATTGTAATGTTTGAAGCATGTTACCTTCAACGTTCTGTGATACTATATTTAAAAAAAAAGTCCTGAATAAAACAGAAAACGAATTCACTAAGTTTAATTTTCGTATACTCTTTTTTATTATCGTGAAATTATAATTTTACTAAAAAAAAAAATGCCCAATTGATAAAAAAAAAAAAAAAAAAAGTAAAAGAATTGTGAAATAGAAAAAATTGTACAAAAGGAAAAATAAACTTAAAAAATTTTTTAAATAGCATTTTTTAAAAAATTGTATTTTATAAAACTTGTTTTTTTTTAAAAAGAAGAACTAGAATTAAATAACTAACTATTAAAAAACTATTTTGTGAGACAAAAAGAAAATATTTCACCTGATTTCTCAAGAGAAAGATAGAGAGATGATCTTAACTAGTTCCAAAGGAAACGGTTCGAGTTTCAAAACTTTCTAAATCAACAACAACAATTGTTTTTGTAGTAGAAAACTTTGGTATGCAAATCAATCTCACAATTTGTTTGTTTTCACCTAAAATAAATTATTATTATTAATAATAGTAATTTTTTTCAAATTAAATGAAATTCAAATTTTTTTTTTGAACTGACCTTTCCATAATTTAGTCTCGAATTTGTTCATATTCCCAGCGAAATAAATATTTGGACATTCTTCCATAATAAATTTATCTTTCTCATAATCTGGATAACAAGGCAATGTATCGGGTGCAGTAGGACAGAAATGTCGCCAATTTAAAGTTCTTTCAAGCCATTCGATTGGAGATAAATAATTAGCACCACTGACTTTAATTAGATCATCAATTGGTTGTCCACTCGTTCCGGAAATAAGACAATTTCCTATTTTGCCAATCCAGGGATTTGTCGCTCCATTCACAGAATTGTATCTAAAAATGAAAAATAATTTTCCTCTTAATTTCTTTTTTATTTTTTTAAAAATTAAATAGAAAATAAAATAAATACCTTCGAGATTGAGGAAACATACAAGAATGCAAAGGTTTTTGTGGCATCATAAATGTTGCAATATCATGTTGTCCTGGCATTAAAGTAACACAACAAAATTTCGCCAATTCAGAAAGCAAATCGTCCATTTTTTTCGTACCAATTGCAATTTCCTTTGAGACAGCTTGATCAATTGCTTTTCCACCTTGAAGTCCTTTATTTATATGATTATCAGAACTTCCTCGAATACTGTTACCTGTGAATAATTTATTAAAAAATTAATTTTATTCTTTCTTTTTTTTTAGAAAACAAAAATTTGTAAATACCTGCAATAATAACTCTAACAATTGAAGCCCCCTCTTTTTGTGTATCGGCATCGCCTATCATTCCACAAAGCCATTCTATCAATAAATTTAATTCCACATTCGCTTCAGTAGTTGCTAATTCAAGACCTGATATTAAAACTAATTTTCCCTTTGTCGATGTAATTTTTTCCTGCGGTAAACAACCAGGAAAACACCATTCTTCAACCTGAAAAAATATTTTAAATAATAATTAAGCAAAAATAATAAAATTAACAAATTTTTATCAATTTTTCTCAAACCTTAAAAGAACTATTTTCATCCTGATGTCCTAATACTGCACAAACAACACCAGTCACAATATCTTTTATATTGACATTATTACCAACTAATTTAATACGTGATGTATCGTCCTCAAGAAAAACTTGATCATCATCAGAACAATAATCATCTCTAACAACAGGTAAAACTAATTGTTCATCTTCACTTAATTCCTTTAATATTGAGGGTTTATTTTGTTGATGTTTATAAAGTGTTCCAATTATAATACATTTCTCTCCTTCACTCTCAGCTAATTCAGAGAGTTGATGAATTTTTACATTACCTATATTAATTAATAAAAATTATTATTTAATTAAAAATACATAATTTTATAAATTAATTATTAATTTTTTTACCCCATTTTTCCCGTGTTTTTTCAATGAGAACTTTGGATAATTCTGTTATTCTTGCCGTATATATTTTAGCGAATTGTTTAGAATAATTATCAGAAATATCACGATATTTAGACGCGAGATCTTGATAATTAGCTGATTCTCTTGTGAATATTTCATTATTAATTGATGTATTCTCGGAATCATCTGTTTCCATCAGAGTTTCCTTATTTTGAACCATTTTTTTTTTAACAATTAACACTTTTTTTTTTAAATAAATATAGTATAGAAAAACACAAACAGGATGATGTTTCTAAATATAACCTCACTTTTAGAAATTGTTTTCCTCTTTTCCCGCCATTAACAATAGAATCGCATGCGCAGAAAAAAAATAATATCGATTGGACAAAAATTTTACCGCGCTTATTTAAAAAATTATCCTGGATCTTAATTTAAAAAAAGATTAATATTTTTTTTCAAATATAAATATTATCTTCATTTCCAGTGAATTTAATTTAACAAAAGTTGAGTATTCGCTAAAACTTTTTTTTTTATTAACGTTTATTAAATATTTATTTTAATTATAAAAACACGTTACAAAACATGTGAATGTATTTGTAAAACAATTGCTATAAATATTGAATCACAAAAGGCGTAAAATCATCACTATCAATGCAAGATTCAAATTTTAATGTTGGTTTTCCTAATTCTTTATTGACAACATAGTATGGAAAACCAATGGGAAATTCTTTTCTATTAAGTCCATTGCATGCAGCTCCATAATTGCCATTTTTATCTAAAGCAATAATTGCTCCTGAAAAGTGTGGATAATATTTTGCAATTCTTTTAACGGCAGTCGTTGCTGCTTCTTTAGGTGATGCGCCACGTCTCATTTCTTCGACAGCAAGAAAACTGAAAAAAAACGAATATTCTATTAATTAGTAGGAAATTTAACAAAAAGAATATTCTATATTAAAAAAATTCTATATTAATTAAAAAATAAAATAAATTTAATTTCCATTTGAATGAAATTTTCTCACCTGGGTAAAAAGCGCATCATAATATCACCATCACCAGTTCCAGCGGCGGCACCAATTTCCGAATCAGCATAAGCACCAGCTCCAGCAATTGGCGAATCTCCAATTCGACCGGGAATTTTATGTTTTGCACCATTCGTGGAAGTTCCAGCGGCTATTTGTCCTCTCATATCCATTGCAATAACTCCAATTGTATCATGATTTTCCGCATTTAAAACAGGTAAATTTTCCGTTTTTTCTAATAGAGAACCTTTCTCTATTGGTTTAAATGGACCACATGATTTCGAAGGATCTGGCACTACGTTCTGAAAAAAAAATTCAAATTTGCAATTCGTTTAAATTATAAATTAAAAAATATTTTCATTAAAATAATACCTTCCAAAAATTTGGTTGACAATTATTATTCTTCCATTTTTGCCACATATCTGTGGATTTTTTTGTTTCCAATGATTCATTTTTAAATCCCATTTGAACAGCAAATTTTGCCGCAAGTTCACCGCCAAGAAGTGAATGATCAGTATTTTCCAAAACTTTACGTGCAACTGATATGGCACTTTTGATATTTCTTAATAAACCAACACCACCAACGTCCATTGTGTTTCTGAAAAATATATTTTTAAATAAGTAAACATTTTTTAAATTGTGAATTTTTCTTTTTATTACTAAAAAAATTATACCCATCCATAATAAGAGCATCTAATGTAGTTTCTCCATTTTCATCAGGACTTCCTCCAAATCCAACAGTCGTTCGACATTGAAGACTTTCACATAAACTACAACTTTCCTCAATTGTATCTAAAGAACTTCTTTTTTTTTCGTATATTGTCTCCCATGCTAAAAAAACAATTATTTCAAGTTAAACAATAATTTAACATAATTTTTTTTTTGTTAAAAATAGTAAATAATTTATTATCACCTTTTTCAGTTGCTTCAAAATAATTCCATGTAATTAAAACCAGAGGACTTTTATCTTCAGCAAATGAAAATGATATGATAAATATTAATTGAAGGAGCAATATTTTTCGAACTGAAAATTCCATTCTTGATGCCTGGTCTCTAAAAAAATAAATCGTTCGATATTGCTGTCAATGTATTAATTAATAAAAAGGATTTGTGTGTGTGTGTAAAATGATAATACATATTGGAAATGGAAAATCTTTCACAAGTCAATGGACTCTAATCTAACATTAATTCTGATAACATATTAATCTGATATGTTATTTTATTTTATATTAATATAATTATTCACTTTTTTTTATTTTTCTAACCATAAGGTTATTATGATAAATAATAAAATATAGCCAATAATTATTATACACAATAAACATCAATTATTTATACATTGTTAACAAAAATAACAAAAAAAGTAAAGTAGAAAAAAAAAAAAAGTATTAACTTTTTTGTAAAACTTGTACTATTAGCTGATAAGAAAAACTAATTTTTTAATTTAGAAAATGTATTTACCTGTAGAAATAATTTTCAACACCTTATTTGTTTGGAAAAAAATTAAAATAACCGATTCAAGTCTTTCATCTCTCCTTATATATAAACAAAATACTTTCTACAAAGTGAAGTTCTCATATAATCATACTTCAGTCTGAACAACCCTTACTTACAAAATATTCCTTCACAAATCGTAAAAAATTACAAAAATCTAAATTAAAATTATAATTAACATAAAAAAAACTATTTCAAATAAGAAAATTTAATGAAAATTACAATTTTATTACAATAATCTAATTTCTTTTTTTGTCCATTTGTTAATATTTTAAATTTCACATTCTTTTTCCCGCGTAATTGTTTTTCGTATAAAACTTTAATTTTCGAATGTTGGCAACACTTGTGCAAAATAACTAGCTCCGCTGAGAGAACACACAGCGGTTCGATGCGTTTATTGTGTGTTAAATGACAAAGTTGTTAATAGTGCTCTCTCTGCTAGCGTAAGTGAATTAATGTGAATTTAATGATTGAAAAAACGCCGGTTATTTGAATTCATGTGACAGTAAAAAAATTATTTCACAAGAACACAGTCAGTGTTGCTGTTTAAAATTCGATTCGCTTGAATGTGCGCCAACGAGAGAAAATGTCAAACACTTCGCCGTTGCAACTTGTGAACGGTGAAAATTTAATTGAAAATCTTACCTCAAACACTGAGGTGAGCGGTGCAATAATTAATTATCGTGAATTAAGATCGGGATCGTGTGTTGTCGGCGGTGGTGGTGACAATAACATTGCCGCTGACTATCAGGGCGAGCATCATCGCAGTGGTGGTGGTGGTGGTGGTGCATTAGCGGCCGCTGCTCGTGCCGCCGTGTACAACATGGTAGCTGCGATGAACGAGGATGAACGATCATCCTCAGCGACAAATAGTGTACGAATCACCACAACAACCGCTAGTTCAACGACAGACGCCGTCAACGATTTTCGTAACGTCTCCGAGGACAGTAAAGCCGGAATACTTGGCTTTCCTGAGGATTTTGATCACATGTACGCAAGTATGACTGACGGTGAAGCACCAGCAAGTGCCACTTCTGCACTAGGTGTCAGTCCACTTCGTGGTAATGAGGCACGACAAAATGATCTCACTGAAGTGAAACATCTCAAGGAATTACTTCTTTTACATTTGGACCTCATTCAACAACAATCGGAGCAAATTGTCACTAAGGACAAATTACTCGCTGCACTGAGACAGGAGAATGAAACGGTAATAAAAACAATTTTATTTTTTATGTATTTTTAATTTAGAATTTTAAAATTATTTTTAATTTTGTATTGTTCATTGTTGTTTATTTTCTTTTTTTTTTCTTGTTACAAAACTGTCATCAATCTGTCAAATCGAATAATTTTGAAAAATCGTTACTTTAGAATGTTACATTATTTAATAGAACTTATTTTCATTTTTTTATTCTAATTCTTGAATATTATAACAAATTATTCATAAAAATAGACAAATTGCGCAAAATCACGTAATAATGTAAATGTAACTATTTTTATTTTTCAAAGTTCTCCATTTTTACGAAAACGAAATTTAAATTTTTTTTTATTTATTTTTTGTTGAGAATTTTGTTTTTGTTGTTAAATTGCCTTTTTTCAAACATAAACATTGACAGATGGTAATTGACTTTTTTTCACAAATTGAAGCGTCTTTTACATTTGTAGAATTAATAATTTGTTATAATTTCGGATAAATTTAATTAATTAATCCTATATTTATTTAAAAAAAAAAAAAAATTAATTTTAATTCCGTTCATATGTTCTACGTTAAGCCGGGTTTTAACCTAAAAATTGTCGCATACGTATGAATAATGCATTAGCTTTTACACACACGAGTTGTATTTTGTAATTTTTTATCATTTTTATTCACGGGGAAATTTAATGAAAAATGCGATAAATTGAATGTCAGTGTCATTTTAAAATACTGGGATATAAAAAGTGTTTGATACATTTGTTAAAGTGTCTTTTAAACAATTAAAATGTTCAGGTAATTGTAAAATTTTGCCCCGCGCTTTTTACGCATTTTCTTTTGAGGTTAGTTTAAGAATTGTCGGCTATATATATATATATTCAAAAACCGTTGACGACATGCGAGCACGCTTATTTAATATTATTATAAACATTGGAATGAAATATTGAAATTCTTTGCAGGAACAATAAATGATGAAAATAAAAAAGAAATATTTGAAAATTATTTAAATTTAAAACTTTTCTAAGAAATTTGTTTAATGATTTGTAATTTTACAAATTTTAGCTTAAATTACGCCTCGAGCGGATGGATAGAAGGGTTAATCTTCAAAAACATCGATCGGAAGCAACGGAAAATTCTCTAGGCACTGATCGTATTGGTCCATGTTCACCACCAAATGTAAATTTATCAAGTCTTCCATCAACGAGTGAACTTCAAAAAAATATTCAATCTGATATTAATAGTAGCGGTAGTCAGCAACAGCAACAACAACAACAACAACATCATCATCATCAGCAGTACAATGAGAGTTTTAAAATTCGATTGAATACAAGCGGTGGTATACCAATTGTAAAACAGGAGCATAATAATGTACACGAGACAAAGAATGACAATATGGGTAATGATACGAGGCTCGATTGGGAAGGTAAGAAAAAACGAAGATCCGATCCAATAACACCAGTTGCTGGTGGTGGTATTATAGCAGGTAAGAGAAAAAGAGGAGCATCATCGTGTTCATCAACAAATATTATAAACAATGAACAATGTACAATGGTACGCGAGAATAAAAATCTCATTACGGATGTTATGAAAAAATCCGAGAAAAAAATTAAAACCCTCTTAAAAAGAGAATCGTATCTCACAACAGAGGATCATTATTACACGGCAGTGGGAGATACAAATTTTTCCCTATCAATGAATGTTGATACACCGCAGGAAACATCAACGTCTCTCGAAGTTCCAAATTGGAGGATAAAAGTCTACACGAGTTGTTATACAATGGAGGGTACAGAAAATTTGGACGATGAAATATTCAACAAAAGGCATCTTAAACTCGAAAATGATGAGAGGCGGAGAAAACGATGGGATGTACAAAGAATAAGGTTTGATTTTCAATTATTGAAAATTTCAATTTTCCTTTTTTTTTATGAATTTAATTTTTTAGAGAGCAAAGGCACATTGAAAAATTGAAACAAAGACAAGAGCGTCAAAATCATCAGGCAACTTGTTATAATACAAATCATAGTGGACCGTGTTCTTCTTCGACTGAGGAGGAAAGTGTAAAGACACTATGGCCCGATTTAGATCAAATACAAAGCCTTCAAGTTGATGCTCAATTGCCTGTTAATGCATTTGGTGCTGCTGTACCCGGTTTTAGTTTAAGGTACGATAATTTAAAATTTATTTTTTTAATAAAAAAAAGTGAAATTATTTCTTTTCTTTATAGTGACTTTATTCTACCTTGGCAAGATTTGATAAAATCGAAAGAGAGACGCCATCAACGAGTAAAACGATCAACTGGTCGTAGAAAATCGTGTAGAAGATAAAGAATGCATGAAAGTTGTTTTAATATGTGACGAAAAATTTCAAGATAAAAAAAAGCGATAGCGTGATTTAATTTCTTTTTACTATTGCTAATTTTTCTTTTTCTATTCTATATAGGGTACCAAAGATATTTTTTTACGAGATTTTAAATTGTAACTATTTTATCTTTTTTTAGAAGGTATGCGAAACTTTTTCTATTTTTTTTTTTACTCGTGAAAAAGAACTTATTTATTTTATTTTTTTTTAGAAACTACGACCCTTAATAAGAAACCAAGTTTTTTTGCTAAAATATCTTTTGGTCCTTTATTTTTATTTCTTTTTTTTCTCATTCACAAATGAATTATTTTACAAATTTGATGAAATGAAACGATTATTGCTGTATGTGGAAAAAAAATAGTTATCTCACACGCTTATCGTTTTTCAGGGATATATTTTTCAATTTAAAAACAAAGAAAAAGCACTTTTTGAAAAAGTCGCTACATAAATTTTTTAAAAGAGCCTCAGTGAGCGTGAAATTGACCTCGAGAGGCAAAATAAAAATGTTATTTTCTCGCTCCTGTGGCTCACAGTGATATAAGATAATAAATTTTAAGACGTAGTATAAATGTTGATCCCAATTTCACTGTGTAATTAGTGATGTAAAAAATTCGCGTAGCTCCTTTAATTCATCGACTAAAAGAAACTTAGAATAATAAATTTTAGTTTCTTTAAACAAAAACCGATTTTCCGCCTAATTAATAATAAAATTGCAACCTTTAGAAAAATTAAAAATCAAAGAACAATGAAATGTCCCTAAGTGATAAAAATTGTAAAAAAAAAAAGAAACCAATTTAATGTTTTACAATTGTAAAAAAATAGATTTTTCTATAGTGTCTAAAGTCTTTGATAAATCTATAGAATATTTACTTTTAACGGGGCTAAACGATTGGTACAGAAAAGAAAAAATAGGAAAGGGATCGAAAAATAATTTACAACTCTGTATATCTGTAACTGTAATTTTTTTCGTCACCTCATAATATTACAAAACGGAAAGTGAACGTTAAAGAATATAAAACAACTTTTCTGTGATTTTTATTTTTAAAAAACGGAAAAAAAATGTACAAATCGAAGAAATTAAAACTTAAAATGCAATATTCATTTTTTTTTTTTTAACTAGAATTATATTTTTTTTTAATTTTCTACATAAGGAGAAACGTTCACTTTCTTCTTGAAACGTGGCATAAAACTTTTAAGATAATAACTGTATAATAGAAGAAAAACACTTTTTTTTTCTTCATTATTATATGTGAGAATTGAAATCTTGTATATAGCGAATGAATTTCCTAATTGAGGAATTTTTTTTAATTACCGAATCATCCCTAATGTTCAATTATTCAGTTAAAAAAAAAATTTTCCCTCATAATTAATTGGTTTACAATACTCAATGCATTTTTTTTTCATTTAAATATTAAAACAAAAATAGATTTAATATTTTATGAAATTATGAAAAAAAAATTGCATTATTTAATGATTAACTATAAAAATTGAATTTTTACAAATATTTATTCAATTTAATGATCATTGAGAAAAGTTATTCCCGTCTTCCTCTTCCATTTTTTTTTAATTTCGCACTTTTTAATTTTCAATGATTTAACATTGAAATTTTTATTGAAGGAAGACAAGAAAACAAAAATAATTCACGCCCGTCTTCATAAAATATTATAATTTAATTAACCGTCCAGTGACCTATTTCCAAATCATTATAAATAGTAATTGTCTGTAAATTATTTGTATATCTTATTGTCTCATTCACCGAAAAAAAAAAAAAAATTCTCTGCGTACCTGGATCTAGAAAATATCGAGTCATTCCGAATAATGTAAAAAAAAAATGTCCGATTTTGGACTGAATTAAAATTGAACAAAAAAAAAATTTGGAAAGACGTTTTTACGTTTCTTTAAGATCTGCCTTGGTTATCATTGTATATATCGGTCAAAAAGATAAAAAAAAAATACTATAGAAAATAAAATTTAAGATACACGAATTGCGATCTCAATTTTTTTTTTAAATTGTACATTAAGTTTTCATTTTTACATTTTATTTTAATTTTAGATTTTAAGGAAGAATTCAGGAAGTTTTTTTTTAGTCTTTAAAAAGAATAATTGAAATTAAATTAATAAAAAATAAATTTTTAATTTATTAATAAATATGAACAGAAACGAAAATCTAATGAAAAGAATTGAAAAAAAAATGAAACAAAAAACAGAATAAAATAGAAGGAAAAAAAATACTTTTTGATATATTTCTTTTAATCCTTTATCTGATTCTTCCTTAATGTAAATTTCAAGGGTCGACAACTCTAAATTGTACAATTTTTTTTTTTACATATGAAATTAAATAAAATGATAAATTAAAATTTTAAACAAATAAAATATTTTTTTTAAAAAAGAAAAATTAAAAATATTAGAGTAATCGATCCCTTTGTTCTTTTATCATTTACCATCATTATTGTTTTATTGTCTTAGATTTTGAATTTATTAAAAGATATGTGTTTACATTTCTCAATCGTTTTATTTGTACAACTGTATATTGGCATCAAAAAAAATGATGTAGTCGCAGCACAAATTACAAATTCGCAAATTTTTGACGATTCGTCAATCGCGAAACATCCATCAACAGACAACATATATATATCAAATCCTAAAGATTAAATCAACATCATTTTCATCATCATCATTATTATTATTATAATTATTATTGTATACACATCTCTCGTGTGTCAGAAATGTATATAATATAAATCCAATGATTTAAATTTGCTCTATTAGGGATTAAAATATGATTTTACAACTATTTATATTCGATTTAGCGGATATGCACAAGATTATTTCGGAAACTTTTTAATAATTATCAATGGATTTCTCATATAAAAGACACTACAACTAAATGCTATCACTGTGATGCAATAATAACTTATTTACTTATATAGGTACGACAAAACGATTATAACATATACAGAAATTTAAAAAAAAATTACATCCAATCTTAATTTAAACAAAAACTCAATTTTTCGCAACTTTTTAAAAAAAATATTTTATAAATAAATTATTCAATTATTATTCATATTAATTGAATCACATTTTTTCACATACAATAACATAAAAAATATTTTTAGTAAATTATCAGTTGATATAATTGTGATTTTTAATATTTATTACAAAAAAAAAGTTTCTTAATTTATTTTTTTTGTAAAAAAATATTTTATTTTAAATAAAATACAATTATGGTAAATAAAAAAAAATTTAATGTTATTTTATGTGTGGAAGAAAAAATATTTTTCCAAAAGTTGCGTATTCTCATTGTGTATAAAAAAAAGAACATCATTCAAGATGCCCTTAATATGAGAAAAAAGAAAAGAGCTTGTATAAAATATTTTAACATCAGTTTTGCAAATATATATACGTATATCGAGCATTCGTGCGTGCCAAAATTAATTGGCGTTTCTTTATAGCAGTCTTTCCAGTATTCATTGAAAATAAAAATGTTCATTGAATGACAAACAAAGCCAAACTGAGAAACAATTATTATTATTTTTTTTTATACGATCCGTTCGAGACTCGATGAATATTATGCGAATTTAATTAATCGAATGGACACTTGTATTTTTTTTTTATCAGATACATGTATACATATACTTAATGCGATACATTCAGCGAATCCGAATCAAGTGATAATATTCTTGTTTTTTTTTTTTTTTATGTAACTTATGCTAAAAATTAACTTTGATTATTTATCACCATTTGAGCCATTTTATTCGATCGAAAATAATTATCTTTTCGCACTGCTTCAACATGAAGCTGTGAATTCTCGGGGGTTTATTTTTTATTTATTTATTTAAACGCTCGAAAATATATCTTCTCAATGTTTACAGTAAACCACACTGAATATGAATATATATTTTTCATAATTTGCTTTTCACTGAGGTAGATACACAAAAAAAAAAATTGCCAAACTCCATTTTCTTGATTTTTTTAAAATTTAATAAATTAAAAAAATATTGGTTTTAAAAACAAAAGAATTGATATTAAAATATTTAATTAAAAACTAATAAAATTTTGTTTCGTGATTAAAAATTAAAATGGTATTTGGCGAAACGGAATTCCTTGTGTTTCCTTTCGTTAAAAAAAAAATTTTTCATATTCCCCTCTCGGAAAATTCATTCATGTCAAATAAATTCGAATAAAACTGATTCGCCTTTTTTGTTTGTTAATTCGTAATACTACACATATTTTTTTTTCTGAGTATTAATTAATCGTGATCTGTCACTTTTGCAAAGTATTTTGTTAATCAATTGAAAAAAAAAAAAATTGAAATCGCGTGACAATAAATCACAAACGATTTTTTTTTCTGAGGCATAATTGGTATTCGTAAACAGTTTAATTATATAAATAATGTTTTTTTTTTTTTTTACTTATGCCTCATATATAAATAAAAAATTTAACTACGCGTACAGAAATAGAGCTACATATTTCTCTATACAATACACTCGTCTACAGTCTATTTACTTCATCTCACGTATTTACAATTATTATGACACGGATTATAAAAGAAAGTTTTACACTCCCCCTTTTTTTTTTTGAAAAAAAAATCACTGGCACATTTTATGCACATAAAAAATAATACAAAAAATAATTATATATATATAAGAAACATAAACTATATAATTTAAAAACTTTGATCTTGTTTAAAAACAATTATTTACAATTCACAAGACAAAATTAAAAAGAAAATTCTCAATAAATAGTAGAGAAATTTAAAAAAAAAATGCCAGTAAATTTTTTTTTTTTTGACGGTAGAGTAAGAATTAAAAAAATGAAAACAAGAGTTATTTGTAGATATGTAAAATAATAAAATGTGAATTAAAATATTTTGGATTTAAAATAATAACTGGGTGATATAATTGAATTAAAAAAAGATAAAATGAATCCATTAAAGGAAGACTAGAGTTAAATTATTTTTTGAATTAAATTGTCAATTTTTAGATTTGAATATTGTCATTTTAAAAATTAGTTTCGTCATTTAAAAAAAACAGTTATTGCACTGCAGTTAAAAGTAGGAACTATTTGTAAGAAGAAAAAAAAAGTAGAAAGTCAATTTCTCAACATGATATTAAACCAGCCTTCTTCAATGGACCATTTTTTAAAAAAAAAGTTCATCGAACTAATTTGCGTCTTTGCGCAAACTTTTTCAGCACCATAAATGAGAATTTTGTAAAAAACTCTATTCGTTTTCTTTTCTTTTTTTTCTTTTCTCCCTCCCACAAAACGAATGAAAAGTCTCAATTCTCACGTTTTTACTGATACGATCTCTGTCTGAATAAACTGCTAATTTCCTCGATACTCTTGTTCCTTGTCTCCGGTACTTGTTTAAATATATAAAAAGTGAATAGTGCCTGAAGAACAGCAAAAATGTAGAACACATAATGATGAATTGACTGTTCAATCGGCTCAAATCCAAAACTAACAAAGAAATTCGCTGTCCAATTAACGCCAATTGCCACCGATGTTGCCACTGGTCGTGCCGATTGATTAAAAAGTTCCGTCACCAAAAACCATGGAATACTACCTGGTCCAGTTGCAAATAATACAAAGAACAATATCACCATGAGAATTGCACCATAGGTCGCGAATGCAGAAGTTTTCTAGAAAAGAAAAGAAAAATCAATTTATAATTGAAATCATTTTTATTTTTTTTTGAAGGTTTTAAATTTACTCACGGCATGAGGAAGCATAATTGCAAGAAGGAAGGTGACAACTGTCATTCCAGCAAAACCAGTCAAGAGCAATGTTTTTCTTCCGGCACGTTCAACAAGAAATAGAGAAACAATTGTCATAAATACATTAACAGCGCCAACACCCAAGGTTGCCATTTGTGATGTACTGTCATTAAGTCCTGCCATTGTGAAAATTTTCGTCGAGAAAAATACAATTGCATTGATACCGGACATTTGCTGGGCAATCATCATCATCACTGCAATTTGCAATGGAATACGCAAACTTGCATTCATAATTAATTCCTTCAATGACACTGCAGGTACAAGTTTCATCGATTCATATTCCGTTCGCATTTCGTCCATTTCATCTTGAACATCAATTGATCCACGAAGCCAGGACATTGCTGGAAAAAAATATAATTTTTTCATTAATAAAACAAAAAAAATAGAAACTAAATTAATTAAAAATAATTTAATTACCTCTTTGTGAATCAAGATCCCGTCCACGTGTGAGAAGAAGATATTTTGGACTCTCGGGACAAAATGGAAGTGTGACAAGTTGAAAAATTGCAGGTACAGCTGTGAGACAAAAAAGTGTTGGCCATTGTGTTGGTGTACCAAAAAGTCCATCTAAACCCAATATTTGTGCAACTAAAATTGATATTGTTATTATCAATTGATAAATAGTACCAACTGCACCGCGCAAATGACTTGGTGATATTTCACTGAGATACATAGGCGCTAGACCAGCATTTAATCCCGAATTAATACCAATGATAAATCTTCCAATAATAAACATATAATAACTTGATGTTGGTTTTGCCAAGCCTTCGAATAATACTGTTAAAAAAACAAGTATATTATTCAATAGTAATCCACCTTTACGTCCAAAACGATCGGCAACATAGCCAACTGAACATCCACCAACCATTCCGCCCAAACAAAATATCGATACAATTATTGCAAATATAAATGTCAATGATTCTGGACTTTCATTTCGTTCAACTAATCGATCGCTGATCCATTCCTTCAGTACCTGTAAATCATTTTATTTCAATTAATTCAATTTTCTTTCAATAAATTAAAAAATAAATTCAATTATTATTTTTTTTTTCTAACATTTTTAATATTTTGCAAATCATTTTTATTTCAATTCGATTATTTTCTTACAATAAATTAAATAAATAAAAAATTCAATTATTAATTAATTTTTGTTTCTTGTATTTTTTCTAACATTTTCAATATTTCGCAAATCATTTTATTCCAATTAGATTATTTTCTTTCAATAAATTAAATAAATAAAAAAAATCAATTATTAATTTATTTTCTATTTTTAATATTTCTGACGGAATTTTAATTAAATTCAATTTTTAATAAAACGATATTTTTAAACGATTTAATTCGAAAATATATTGTCTTGGAAATTTTTGTTTAAATTAAAAAAAAAAAATTACCTTTCCACTGTTGGCGATAACTCCGGTATTATAACCATGTTGAAATGAGGAACCAAGTGCCGCAGCGGCAATTGCAAACATCAAATTGGCATTGAGACCCTGTGAAAAAATGAAAAATATTATTATATATACTTTGAAAAAATGTATAAAAATTTATTTCACTAAATATTGAAAAACAAAAAATAATAATAGGTCAGTTATTTTTTAAATGACAACAGTTTTCATTGACATTAATTCGATAGCATTGATACTAATTTGTCAAAGACTAAATTGTCGGCTTAATTCTATTTACAATCAATTTGTCATAGTTACAATTCAAATTTGATCTTGGAGAATATTTAAAAATATAAATTAAATGTAAAAATTTCATTAATTCAAAAATTAAACTTAATTTAATAATTATTTCATTAATTCATAAATTAAATTTAATTTAATAATTATTTCAATAATTAACATTGCAATTGAAAAGAAAAATTTAAAAAACGAAATAATTAATAATAAAATATAAATAATAAATAAATAAAAATTGTAAAATTTTTTGTAATAAAAATACAATAATTAAATCTAATGATCGAAAAAAAATTAAAATTAAAATTATAAATTAACTTAAAAAAAAAATAAAAGTTTTTGAAATTTTTTCCGTAGAAATAAAACTAGATTTTGCAATGAAATAGAAATTACTTCCAATAACCTCGAAACGATACATATCAGGTTCTAAATTTCAAGTACATTATACGCGATTTGCATTTTATTATATCCGATTTTATAAATAATTCATACAATTAATAAATTATTATTACTATAAATCCTGAGTTGAATATAACATTCGAAATTTTATTTCCGGATACTTTTGATATTAATATTTTCACTCTATTAAAATAGAAAAAAAATTGTTCACATTTTTAAAATTTTAAAAATCAGTTATTATTTTATTTATTTTTGGATTAATATACAAAAAAAATTCTTCCTGTTATTTTTTTTTAATAATCAAAAAAATTGACTTTGGAAAAAAAATTATAATTAAAAAAAAAATTTTCAATTATCTAAAAACATTTGTGCAAAGAATTTTTTTCCACACAAAAAAAATTGACATTTGTTCTCGAAAACCTTCACCTTAACTTTTTATAAAAGTATATTACAGCAAAGTCCATTACTAATTGATTTAATTTTTTTCTCCATTGTTTTTAAATTTTTTTCTATTAATTTTTTTACAAGCAGATAAAATTAAATTAATTAAATTTTAGTAAGAAAAAATTGATTTGATAAATTTTTTATTTAATATATGATTCTTTATTATAGAAAAATAAAACAGACCTTCGAAACTTGAATGTAAACCATAGTAGAAAAATTCCAAATTGAGAAAAAAAAAATTATACACTGCACTTAAAAAAAAATAGTTTTAAATTGAATTAAAAAATTTGAGAATTTAATAAAATTAATAATTATTAATTATTAATTAATTAAATTAATTTTCGAAATAACGAACATTGAAAGATTAAAATCAGTTCATGACCGTGCAACACGTGCTTCAAACACGAGTGAAGACAACTGGATTCCATCCGTAAGTTTATATGTTAAACTAACACAAATTTAAAGGCAACACACATATATATAAGAATTGCACCAAGTGCATCGCAACATAGAAAATACAGTTTGATATTTTCGCAAGACAAATTCAGATAAAAATGACAACAAATAATAATAATTCTCGGTATTAAAAAAATGTGTTTAATTAACACAATATTGTTATCTTTTTAAAATAAGGACACAGACTTTGTTTTTTATTTTTATTGTTCCATTTTTTATATGAAATTGTTTTTTTTTCTAATTTACAAGAAATATTCAGTCAAAATAAAAATTATGTAATTAAATCATTTAATTGTTTACCTAAAGCAATTAACATAGATAACTATGTAAAAGGGTTACACACCCATATGATAAAATAAAAAAAAAAATAAAATTATTTAATCACAACCTCCGCATGATCAATAATTTATTTCTGAATTTTGATTTAAAAAAAAAAATCACAAAACTAATTTTTTAATTTTAATTTTCAATTTCTGAAAAATTTATCATTTGAAGCTTTAATATAGTTTTTTGCAAAAGAAAATTCTGTTATCGGGAATTCAAAAAAAAATTATGTACTTAATATATCCGATTTTTATCGAATAATAATAATAAATAATTTGATAAAAATCAGATATAAAAAATTCAAACGATAACCTAAATTCTTCTTTTCCTGTTGATTGAATTAAAAAAAAATTATTATTATGACATTGAGTATAACAATATAAAATAAATATATGCATAATAGTTAATCTGACTTATATGTTAATCCATAAACAAAATCTTTCCTGAATTATTGTCCATTAAGAAATTAACGTTTTATTCAAATTTTAATTTAAAAAAAAATTTGAATTTTTAATTTAAAAAAAAATATGATAAAAATAAATATTTATAATTAATAATAAATTATAGAAAATATAATTATAAATAACTAATGGAGAAAATAAAATAATTAAAAAAATGTAATTATAAATAATAATAAAATAAATAAAAAAATATAATTATAAATAATAATAAATATATTATAATAATAATAGTGATTATTTATATTATAAAAATATTTGTATTTAATAAATTTATAATAAATTTCATGGTTTAGAAAATTTGTTTATATTATTTTATGTTGAAATAATAATTTTTTTTTTTAATGAAAAATTGGGATTCTGTGACTCCTGTTAAAAATACTTAGTTGACAATTATAAATGACAAATTTTGCTGACGTTTGTATAAAATTTAGCTAATTCAGTTTTATAAAGTCACAGACATGTCTTTTGAGTCTCCAGACAATTTTTTTTTTTTTTTTTTTTTTTGCAAAAATCATACACTTGAAACAGAGGCACACACGGTCGATTAAATTACATATCAGCTCAACTTTATCGTCTACATATAAAACATGTAATCAAACTTTTTTTAAAAATTGTTATATAACAATAATTTTTCTAAATAATATTTATTTAAATATTTATTATTTATTTTTATTCTTTTATTTTAATATTTATTTATTTATTTAAATTTTATTAAAATAATTATTATTCTATTCCAGGGAATTTATTAGCTAAATAAAAAAAAAAAAAAAAAAATTACACTATCCTTGTTCTCATTAGCAAAAAAATTTTATTTTAAAAAAATGAAGAATTTATAGACTCTGTCATTTTATATATTTTTTTACAATAAAAAATAAAAAAATAATAATAATAAAATAATTCGCGTGTGAAAAAAATGGGTAAAAATTTTAATCATTTTTATTTTGAAAGAAATCTGTATGTATTATACAATACAAAAAAAGAAGGAGCACACCTGGTTTTTAATGAGTGTACCTGTATTTGAAAAAAGTATATAGGAAATTTAAAATGACAAAGAAATCATATGTGAAAAGAAGGTGTGCGAGGATCGTGGCAGTTCGCGATTGGTGAATTCCCAGACGAGCCTCCAATATCCCTCCTTTGCTCACACACGTGTTCTAAAAATAAACTTCCCACGTGCATATGGCATTCTTAAATGTAATCCTTTTGGAAATTACAATATTGCTCAATCTTAATTTAATTTTTTCAGAACCGAATTTTGCCCAATATTTTCTAAATTAATAAAATTTTTTTTATTTTATTTTTTTTTACTAAAAGAATTTGATTTTTCTTCCGAGAACAAAAAAAAACCCTAAATTTAATTACAATAAATATTATCTGTCAACAAAAAAATATGTCAATTAGACAATCTTATTTTTAAAAGAAAGCAAAAAAAAATCTAATTCTAATACCATTTTAATGATTTGCTGTCAAAGAATCATTTTTTGATTATTTCAAAAAAAAAATTTTTTTTTGTCATTGATAATTAGAAAATGTGAGAGAAAAAATTGTATTTTGTTGTTACAATAAAATTAATTCTTTTTTTATCAATTATATAAAAAAAAAATTTCTAATTTTTTATTTCTAGTATTTTTTTCATACTACTTAATAAATAATGAATAAGAGATATAGATTAGAAATTTTTAAATAAACATATGGATTTCTCTATTTCACAATCGCATAGTAGGTTCTAAAATTTCAGAAATGACTTTTTTTTAAAAAACCAGTTTCTGTCAAGCCTTTTAAATATATTATGCAAATAATAAATATGAAAGCAGGAAAGTTAAATGCAAATAATAAATATATATATTTATTTCGTTTAATAAAATAAATAATAAAAAAAATTTCCCGGTACTTTTAAACCTCCCTCTTTTGTATTTTTTGCAACGCACAAAATTAATTTTAATTCAAAAAAATTTTTTTTTCTTAATTATACTTTTTAATGTTAATTAGCAAATTTTACTTTGTAATTTAAGTTGTTCATTTGAATTTTTAATTATAACTTTTAATCTTAATTATTCTAATGAAAAAAAAAGAATAATTTTTAAAAAAGTACAACGCATGATATATATATTTTTGGTTTAAAAAAATAATAATAAATTTTTCATTTATTAATTTTTAAAAATTAATGTTAATTACTAATTGTGGAAATAATATAATTTTTTTTTCGTGGTTGAATAACTGATAAATAAGATATAATTTGCAGATATAATATTTAATGAATGATTGTCATCAAGATTTGGTTCTCAAGACTTTTATATCGCCACTTAAATTAATAATTAGATTAGGATTACATTTATAGCCTTTCATATATGATCTAAAGAAATTCTTTGACTCTATATTAAAATTGAAAAATACAATTATATATTTAAAGTTAATAAACAAGATTAATTAAATTATCTTTCATTTATGGTCTAATAAATTTTTATATTTCAATTTAATAAATAAATAAAATTTTATTATAATTAAATTAACCTTATATATTAAATAAGAATAATTTTAATTATTGTAATTTCTTATTCTCAACATCAATTATATAATTTTATAGATAAGATTAATAACAAATTATTAATTAATAATTAATAATTAATAATAAATTAATAATTAATAACAAATTATTAATTAATAATTTATTATTATTATCTATTTTTTTGGCAAACAAAATACAATAAAAAAAATAAAATATATACG